TTAACTGCCGCCTGTGCAGATTGGAAGGAATGAAATTGTACGATAGAATCACTAATGTAGAGCTTTGGTAGAGAACAAAGTAAGTTCCAATGGACCAAGAGAGAAGAACAGACGCTGGAATCGGATAGGAAAACCTGACAACAATATAACTAGAATGTCTTTACAGTGGAACCCACAAGGGCATAGAAATAAAAGAAAACCAAAAACATATAGAGAAGGGAGCTAGAGAGGGAAATTGAAAAATGCGGAGGGCATTGGGAGAGCTGCATGCTATAGCGAATGATAAAGCGTCTTAGCCTGAGTTACTTAGGGCCTATGCTCCATTGGGGGTTAGAAAGGCAGAAGTAAATAGTCAAAGTCACCTGAAAGATATGGTTTGTGTGGGTGTGTGTGTAAGAGAGAAAGAAAGAGAGAGAGAGAGAGAGAGAGAGAGAGAGAGAGAGAGAGAGAGAGAAAGGCCCTAAGAAAAAAGCCCTATGATCTAAAAACATCAGGGAGTAAGCTACTATGTTTACCAAACAAAGAGAGTCGACAAATTTCACTGATGCAAGAAAAACATGTGATTTCGTAACATAGCTCAAAGATGATTTCGACTATCTGTGAAGGCAACGCAAACGGTTAGGGTACGGTGTTGGGTTTCGCAGAGAATGGTTATGTGTAAAAGCTGTTATGTCAGTCAGTTATAAATGAATATTGATGTCATTATTACAGCCGGTGTGCCATCAGGCGCGATCTCGGACTTATTTCGTTTCGAAGATCCAACTCGTTGGTTTGTGAACCTCACTCAAGTCGCCCATGACCTGGCGTACAAAAGGTTACACGGGAAAAGGTTCCAGGTTAATGGATTAGAGATTACTATCCAGTACGAATATAAACAAAAGGAACGCGCGACGATCCACTGGCTCCTGTCAACAATGGAGCCAAATGCGGTAAAGAACTTAGTTGTGCGAGCTACTGGAAACGATAATCCCGACATTGTCAAACTTAAGTTCGGAGCTGGTAAATAGGCAGCTTTGGTTAATGCAACCAAACCGGTGCCCCATTACGCAAGGATCAGATGACATAGAATAACCAGGAAGAAGCATTAAATCCTTTTGATCATGCCTGGGCGGGGAACCGGTGTCCCTTTTGCTCATCTGATGAACACTGGGCGAATAGATGCCCGACAAGGCGACTGTAGCCTACGGCGCCCTTCAGCTGCTTCTCCAACAGCAATAAGTGTGGAGGACTTTCCACCACTTCAAGCTAAACGGATGCAGCATGAAAGTATCACAAACATCACGACGAAGAAAAAAGAAGAAAATACACAAAGTGCCATCGAACCTGAAATCACATTAACGAAAGACGATCAACAAAAGGTCATCCAGACTGAATCCGTATCAGAAATTGAAGATACACGAACATTCGACAAGCACCACATAACTGATTTGGCTCAAGAAAACACTCAAGCAGAGGGAGGTAACTTCCAGTTAATCATCAGTCGAAGAGAAAAAAAATGGAAATAAAGAGGAAGGTCAGATGTGCTCAAAACACAGGCGAAACTAGCACCGAAGAATAAAACTCGCCATCAAGAAGCTGCCACGAACGAAAAATAGATCACGCAAGCACACAAGAAACAGACAACGGTGAGACACAAATATCGCCACTACCTGCATTAGACACTGCTGCAAAGAATACCAGCGACAAAGAAACTTTCTGAAAGAATTAGATACATAAAATAACACTTCTATATAATTTCTGTCCAAGGATCTACGCAAGACCCCCTCGATTACTAAGTTATACATTGTATTTATCCATAATATAAGTGGTTATTGTTAGCAATGAGTGATTTAGTAATTATTAGTTTAAGTATTAGCGGTTTGAAACGCAAACAACAACACATCACCACACTTATTCACAAATATAAGCCAGATTTCATTCTTTTACAAGAAACAAAAATCAAGTCATACACTGTCTCCAAACAAATCACAACAGTTAGGTCTGAGCCACCCGTGCTTCAGCCTAGCGAAACAACAAATTGGGTCAGGTATAGCAATGCTGCAGACATCCGATACATGGGAAATAATTAACACACATACAGACGACCAGGGAAAAATCTGCATTTCACAAATAGAAAATAACAAACATGCATATACACTAGTGAACATACATGCACAAGCAGACTATAAACATTAGCCTCTATTCTATGAACAACTAGACACCACACTCACACAAACATACAGTGAGCATAATGTCTTACTTGCTGGTGATTTTAACTGCGTCCTGACAGAGAAGGATGTTATTGGAGGTGTAGTCGGAGCGCAGGTGAAATTAACCAGCAAGGAAAATATAAACCGATGACATACTGCAAAATATTATAGACACACATAGCTTTACAGATGCATTCAGACATAAACATTCCAATATTATAGAAACAACACACAAAAACGCAGCATGCAAAACACACTACTCAACCAAACAGAATACGTACAGTTCCACGACGAACACATATTCGCTGTACATAAGAACATACCTACAGAAAAATGTTACAGAATACTGGGACATGATTAAAAATTCAATTCTAAGCAGAACACAAAAACTCGCATCCATCACACACAAAAACAGACTGACACAAAAGCACGTATTACAGACAGCGATACGATTCAATAAACAGTCAAACATAGACGGATTATATTTACACACACTAGAAGCTGAATTAGAACAATACCAACAACACAGATACTTGGGTGTTTCATAGAACAATTGGCACTCGTTAGGTGATATTCTGAGCGTCGTCTACCGTCTTGACTTCTTAGGACTTTACCAGGTACCCATTTAAGGCTGGGTCGATCTGGGAGGGTATATAAGAGAAGGTTCTTTTTAATGGTGATGGTGCAACAGGAATATGATACTATGATACTAGAACTATCTTGTATTGACTATTCGACACTAAATATGCACTAGTTAGAGCAAAATTGGACACAATCACAGCAGAGATACCCAGTAAACAGTGCATAGCAATAGAGGTAAGAAGAGTGTGTAAGATTTTATTGCAAAGGTGAATGGACCCTTCTTACTTGTTTCATAGACTACAGAAAAGCATTTGATTGTGTGCAACACCGCAAACAATTGCATATAATGAAAGGCACGGGATTTCCAAATCATCGGGTGCACTTAATATAATCTCTTTACCATAAACAATAAGCAGCGGTCAGAGTAGCTGATGAAACATCAGAATGGTTTGAAGTGCAGAATGGAGTGAGACAAGGCTGCATTCTTTCACCCTCCCTTTTCAACATATATGCTGAAAATGTTATGAGAAAGGCATGATGAGGCATGTGAGAGCTTTAATCCACTAAAAATTTGAGGTAATCCTATCCCAGAACTCAGTTATGCAGACGACACAGTTCTCCTTTCCAACAGTGTACAAGGTTTAGAAAAATTAAATTTGGCCGTCAAAAAACACAGCAAAAAGTCAATCTGTTTCTTAATTTGAAATATATATAGTCTTGGACTCTCACTCAATCACTGAGGAAAAAGATTGGAGCTTTTGAATTGAAATGTTATTTAAAAAAAATTCTTAGAATACTATGGATCAGGAAGAGGATAAATCATCGACATTCTGAAAGAGTTGAACATCAAGGAGAACTGGCTCATAAACAGCATCCTGTCCCGAAAGTTGAAGTATTTTGGCCACATCAAGGCCATGGTGGCTTGGAAAAGACGGTGATAGAAGGTGCAGTTTGTGGAAGGTGAGCCAGGGGTCAAACACCGCGAATATGGATACAAGACATTGAAGGTGCATTGGCATTGAAAGCACATAAAGAGAGCGACGTTCTGTAAAGGACTTGTTGATTAATGAATGGACACTCTTTAAAAACAGAGAGCCTCGCAGACGAAGTCACTACAACATTATGAGAATGGGGGTGGAGGCAATAGCGGCAGATTTAAGATGCTTTGAGAGCAGCACAGCACGATATGTTATAATTGTAGCGGACTCACAGAGCAAACTTCGGAAAACTGAAACTAGCTTCTTGCGAGCAGAATCCATTGCTGCACTTGAAAAGACTCGGATCAGGGGCATATCATAAATTTTAGACACCGATTTGAACCCTAGACCTTCGGGCGACAGGCTAGCCTCTAGCCACGGTTACCTTTTGAATTTTGTTAAATTTTGAATGAGAATCGACATCACATCACTAGGGACACTCCCATAAGTGCTCAGTCCCTATCTTCAGCAGCAAGCGAAGATTTCCAATCCCGATCGTACCAGTAACCGTCTCATTGTATATCCGTCTCATCCTTCCTCTGAGTGTTGAGGGCTTACACAATATCTAACTTGTCATATATCAATTCACCACCAAGTGGTGCGGAGCCAGCCAGTCTATCTGGCTGATCATTTCCGAACATATCGGTATTACCTGAAGAAAAAATCCAAAGGATTCTAACTACCCGGGACCTCTTAAAGTGTCGATTGCCATTCTGCACGAAGCATGACTGTTTTCACTTTTTTCAGCATGTTCTGTGAGTCAGTTACAATCACTGCATATTTGTAGTGCTGATTCTCAAGCCAGCGGAAGAACCGTTTCCTTTGTTTCCCAATTACTCAGTCTCTTTTTTTTTTGTATTCGTGTTCCACGGCTATAAACTCTGGCGGGCAGTTCTGGTTGTTCGCCTACTTCTGGACTGTAGTCTTGTTTGAGAATTAACACTATATATCCCAATAATAACCCCAAGGGTTGAACAGAATATTCTTGAAAAATTACTACTACTACTAGTTGTTTCCTCGCCTCCCCAGCAGATGCACTCCGACTACGAAGAAACACCCCATATTTGTAGACTTTTACGACACGATTAGGGGAAATGGGGGTGGGGTGGAGGCAGTTGGTCTATCCCCCACCCTCAATACCGCCTAAACGGGAAATTAATTAGTAATAATTATATTCCACTTTCTAGATATGAGCAAGATTATTTCGTAGACAATACATTTTCGTAGTCAAAATAGGAAAGAGTTTTTGCGCATGCGCAGTGTAAATTATGGTATGATGGCGGAAGCAACACCCAAAACAACTGTAAACGGTGATGAAAATCCCTGGAAGAAGCTCAACATACCCGTCCAGGATGCCGACACTTTACGACAAGAAGCAGTCGAAGCACACCACGATCATTTAATTAAAGAAATTGAAACATCTGAAGGGCCTCTGGCCACAACTCTTAGGTAATGTTTTGATCGCTGTTTTTTTCGCCCCTTCCAAGTTAAGTTTTTTAGCCGGTTGGGTCTGCAGCAGACTCAACAGAGCTGCTGAAAATAACAATACGAACATTGTAACAAACAGTCGCAGGCCAGTAAGCAGAAGAAGATAACACTTGTGCTATTCTGTGTATGAATTAATGCATAGAGGAATTCATATGATGCGATTCTTTCAGGCTCTTGAGAAAAACAAGTTTACAATTTTGTTTGTATTTTGATGCGATATAAACATGTTTGCAAAGTTGTTCGTTTATTGAGATGACTTATTGTTATTCTCTGCTTTTTCTTGTGATTTTGGACTTTGATTACCATCCTTCCCATAGGACAGTCGAACAGTATTACCTTCAAAGACAGAAAAGTGCCAACAACAATCTTAAAACACCACTTTGTAAGCATTTGGGTGCACCTAAATTACCCATTTAAGGGGTTTAATTTTGCAAGTTTCATTTAAATCTCCAGTCTGGTTTGTTAGATTGATTGTTTAGGACTTCTTCTTGGTAGCTTGTTGCAATGTCTTTCTCATATTTTATTAGATAATCATTACTTGGTCTTAAAAAATTGTATTCTTGTTTCAAATTTTACAGAGCTGTATATGATGGGGGAGATATTGAGTACTTTATGGAAAAGCTAAGTGCTTGCATAAAAAATCACGATTATGAGATTGAGCGCATGTGCAACTATCATTATCAAGGATTTATTGACTCCATCAGAGAACTTCAGCAAGTTAGTGGGGATGCCACCAAGTTAAAGGTTTGTCAATGGATGTCCGCAATGCAGTTTGTTGCTTGTCACATGTTACATCTTTATAAGAGCATCCTTGTATCTTTTGCATTGTTGGCCTGAAGTTTCTTTGAGATTTCCTTGAAAATATTCTTCTTCTTCATCTTTTTCTTCTTCTGCTTCTTCTTCTTCTTCTCATTTACTACCTAAAAACTTGAAATTTTTTGTTGTTGTTCATTTGGACTTTGGTTTTGTTCCACAACTTGCATGCACATTAGTGTTACAGATCTGGCTAAATTTTTGTGCAGACTGTTGGTTCCTTGCCTCTCAGGCAGATGCACTCCAGATTGAAAGGAACACCCCTATTTAGTAAACTTTTATGGCATGCCTGTTTGATAATGTATATTGTTCATAAACGATGTTCATGTTGTTATTTGGTTCTCATATTGTATTTCTTTTGACAGGGTGAAATACAAGGCCTGAACAGGGAACTTCAGGCCTCATGTGATCCCCTGCTGAGCAAGGGAGACCAGCTTGTAAAATGTCGCAAAGTTCAGAAAAATATAACATTAGCAATTGAAAGTCTTTCTTTATGCTTGCCAGGTATGTCCAGTTTAGTTAAGATTTTTTTGGATTATAGGGTAAAACTTTGTTAACTTGGACTCTTTTAGCCTCTCACCCAGTGACTCCAAAACTGGTCATGAACCTGTGTTCGAATACCAGAAAAGAATCCTTAAAAATTTTTTTTACACAGGTTACTAATTCATTTTAAAAACAATGAATTTCTTTATTTTCTTTAAAACGTATAAAGATATACACGCGGGGTAATCAATAAACATAAAGATTGTTAGCAATTAAACATTCCGTGGTGCCTAAAAAACAAAATGTGTCTGATAACTCATGTTGTGTGACCCAGAATCAGTGTCACTGAGGCTTATGGGAAAATGTAATGCCAGCTTGGCTTTAAAAATGCCATTTCGTTTCAGAGACATGCATACCCCCTCCCAGTGCTGTTTTTATAAATATATTCTCCTGACCTCCCAAACTTGTGAGCAGGTGTGAAAGTAACCAGTAGTAATAACTAAGTATCTAATAAGCAGGTTACTGTAGAAATGCTGGTTAAGCAGTACTAGCTTGGAACCAACTGGAAGTGTAGGGTTTGTGGCTTTCTTGGGCAAAAGGGTTCAGAAGAACACTCAGTTAATATGAATACAGTTTTGGTCCCAGCAGGGATGTATTATTATTGTTGTACTTTTCTCTCCCCCCCCCCCTCCCCCTTTTTTTTGGTTTTGTTTAAATGAAGAAAGCAGTATTTAGCAGGGTTTTAAGTTTGATACTGTATGCTCAATGTACTCTAGATGGAAATGAAGACATTAATAACTAGCAGTTATACATTTGTTATTATGGTTATCTATACACATTGTACTGTAGTTGAAAATGAATTTGATAACTAGAGGTTTTACATTGGAAAAATTACATCCTACAAGACTGCCCCAAATACAATATATCGAGGCAAAACTTCTGGCCAAGAAAAACACAGGTGGAAGCCAAACTTGATGAGTTGCTGGGTGAATTAAAAAAGACAGCAAAGTTCATACCGGAGACAACGTTTGCAGATACAGATAATCTATTTAAAATGAACGAAAGAACAACAGCAGCAGCATTGAATTTGACTATTAATGGATTTTGTACTCTAGGTGGAAATAAAAAAAGTACCACCTAGCAATTTGTCAGTAGTTTCTATGTGCAAATTTTTAATAACACGAAGCAAAGATCCATTTTTTATACTAATGGCACATGAGGTATATGATGTTAGACATGTTTGTATAGATCATTTAGCACTCGCTGGGCGATGTGGTCAACATAATGCTGGCCACCTTCACTTCCATAAGACATTACCTGGTACCTATTTTAGGTTGGGTCAACCTGGGAGCCAAGGTCAGTTTTGAAAAAAAATTCTACTGGATGCAGATTCAAACCCAAGACGTTTGGTCTTTGGCGAGTGTCTAATCACTATGCTCTTCTTGCTCCCTTTACACATTTTTCTCTGCACACATGAAGAAAGGGGATGTAACGAACTGTTCGGTTTGTCACACTGTACACTGTATTATATGCAGATACGAGGAAAGTAATGTCTAGACTGTTGCTGTGTATGAACTGAAATAAAGCAGTAAAGACTTTCTTTTCTTTTTGATATTTTAGTACTGGAAATGTATGGGAAACTTCAAGAGCAAATGAAAAGCAAGAGGTAAGTCTGAATATTTTAACATGAACATAGACTGACAGTTTTAATAAAAATGTAACATGGAAAATGGTTTTTACATAAGTACAGTTACACACTTTGACCTTCTTCTCCTTTATTTGTTTGACGTGCACATAATGTCAGTTACTACTGAGCTGGCAATATTATATTCTGAAGGAGCCCAACTCATTCTGTGTTAAACATCAGATATGTTGAGTTTTTCACTGTATAATGTCATAATGTACATTTATTTCTCCTATAGGTATTACCCGGCTTTGAAAACATTAGAGCAGTTAGAACACACCTACTTGCCTCGTGTAATAAATCACTGGTTTTCACAAACAATGGCAGAAGCTATTCCTAGACTACGAGAACGAATTAAGGAAGCATCTATGACTGAGTTGAAAGATTTCCTAGAAAGTATTCGCAAACATTCAGCAAAGATCGGGGAAGTGGCAATGAGACACGTAAGTGGATGATAATTTGTTCATGGTCATGTCTTTGTTTATATAAGTTTACCGTCTTGTAGGTTTTTAAAAATAATTCAAGTTTTCTCCAGTCTGTATTATCAGTTAAATGTACTCTGCTGAATCGGAAAAAAAAAATCAGTCCAGATGAGAATTATATCCCAATAAAATATAGTAACAAATGACAGATTGAACTTGACAAGGAAGCCCACTTCAGCATATAAGAGCAATAATAATAATAATAATAATACAACTAAAAACATATAAAACCCCCTATAATTGCAAGGGAAAGCCACTGTGGTGTAAGGGCTAGACACTCATTTCAGCCTGAAGATTATAGATTCAGATCTGCATCAAGTCAGATTTTTTTCAACAATGACCTTGGCTCCCATGTTGACCCAGCCTTGAGTGGGTACCGGGTGCAGTCCCGGGAAGTAGAGGCGGCCGGTGTGATGCTGACCACATCACCCGTCTTGTGCCGATTGGTCTATAAAAATATAGGTCTAGCCCTATTTGCCCTGTATGCCTAGAGGCGTGGAAAAGGGTCCTTTACTTTTTTTTTTTTTACATCTTGTGCCCATAGCACCATGTTGAGGCTCAAATGCTTCATTGGCATACAACACAAAGGGATAGTGATACAACTACAAACAGGAAGGCATCAAATTAGTTATCTTTTTGGTGAGCTCTGTCATAAAATCTCCACTACCATTAGAACAGAAACTGTGATCCCATAGCCTTTTTCTCAACTGCTTGTCAGAATATCCATTTGTTTGATAAAACAAGGTTATTTGACTGGTGGCCTGTGGGCTGAATCTGGCCAGCAGAAGCCAAGCAAGTGGCCCATGGATCATTACCACTTGTATTAGTGATCTTCATAAGCTGGGGCTCTGGCTCATGATGATCTCCTTTTTCAACATTTTGGTCCCTGAGTAAACTTAGTTAGTTAGACTTAAAACAGAGGCTTGCAGACACCAGCCTTTCAGCAGTTATGTTCATCCTAAATGACATTTGAGCATGTATCCTTCAAAAATTTATTATGTATAATCATTTGAAAGCCCAAGTATGCCCTCAGCTGTTTTTGGCGTCAAAGAACTAAAAATGTTTTAGTTTGAGAAATAACAAATAAGGATGAAGATCTGGATGATATATTTCTTTTGAAGCTTCTTCTTTACTTTACTTTTTTTTAAAAACACCTATAAACTTTCACTATCAAAAGTTGAGCTTCTACAAGCTTCCAATACCACAGGTTGAACTCCTACAAGCTTGCACTACCAAAGGTTGAACTCCTACATACTTGCACTAAAAAAGGTGAACTCCTACAGGCTTGGCACTACCAGAGGTTGAACGATTTCTTCGAGCTCATAGAAGCCTGAACTACCTTTGACACTGATTTGTCACATGCTTGAAGACTTGGAGAGTCACTTTGCTGGATTTTGGTTCACTTGTTCTGTTCTTGCTAATTTTAATAGTATGTTTGCAACTGAAAATATAATATCACCCTGACAGGCAGCAGAGCAGAACAATATGGACCCCACAATAGCAAAGAAGAAAGTCAAAAAGAGAAGAGCTCCGCCTCCTCCAAATCCTTTCACAGGAGAGGTGGAGTATGAGCTGCCTGGTCCTTCAGCAGAAAGTGATGATACAGAAGAAGTAAGTTTTCATTTATTCTGTAGTTTTCAGATGTGGTGGTTGTATTTTGCTAGAGAAAAACCTCTGCTTTTGAAAATAAAAAATAAAAACCAGTAAGATTGGCATAAATGATTGCTATTTTTATTTTTTTTTGGTTGAGACATCTAACCTTCAGGCATTTCTGTGGAATTATTGACAGACAACGTCGTTCATAAATCTACTCTTCTTTGTTCCTTTTGTCAAAAAAACTTATTTAGGAGACCAGTAACTTTAATGACGGCTATCGAGCAGTCCAAATAATTCTTACAGCTTTGTCTTGACTCAGATTGAAACAGGCCAGATATTGTCGCTATTAACAACATACAGTCTACAGTGTTGGAGTACATGCTGTACATTTTCAGGTGCTAAGTTGCAGGAATATGTTTAATTGTTTCCTGTACTGAAAAAAATGTAAAATATTTTGGTTCATAAATGCACTGAAATGACGGAGCTTGTTCGGCTTGTACAGCACCCACTGTAAGCATTTTGTCATGTAGATAAAGAGTTCACTAATGCAGTACTATGGTATCTTAGGTCATAAACACCTCTAGTCATGAACAATTTAACCTAAAAACACAATTTCCAAACAAATTTTGATTTGACCCGCAAACAGTGCCTTGGCACCATGTTTTCAGGTGTGTTAAAGTCAGGTTTGAGCGCCGTCAACAATGTCGTTGCATTGTTCTTGATACATTTTTGCTGTTGTTGCTTTTTGCATTAAATTAACCCTTATTTTGACTCCCAAGAAAGTTAAAAGTGTTAGTGGCAGTGGTGTAAAGAAGTTTAAGTGTTTTACAGCAGAAATGAAGAAGGAAATAACTGAACCTGAACTTATAATCAGAACACATTTCAAAACAGGTTGAGGAATTTCCTGCACTGAATATTAATGGAATAATGATAAACAATCTGAGATATGCAGATGATAAGTGCTACTAGCAGAAAGCGAGCAGGAGTTACAAGAACTGGTTGATCAAGTCAACAGAGTGCAGAGTAAGGTTTAGTCAAAAAGTTTTTCATATCTACGTCTCGTAATAACATGATAGAAGAAGCAAAACAGAAATCAAAAGAGAAAAGCAATTTCTAAAACTGTCTGTATAGGTGTAAGACTTCATGTCCTGGAGTGTGATATCATCAAAAGAAATTGGATTATTGTTTACTTGTTCCTACTTATTATATTTGTCTTTACCCAGTGGATTGTAAAATCTAATTGATATGATCTCTCGTCAGGTCTCTCATCAAGTTTGTTTAATTAGTTAGTTAAGTCAAGAGTTGACATCACAGCACTCGGGGCATTCCCATGCGTGCTCCGTCCTCATCTTCAGCAACCAGCGCAGAGTTCCAAAACTGATGGTACCGGTCACAATCTGGTTATAGGTTCCGTCTCGCCTTTCCTCTTAGTGTAGGGAGTCGGCCAAACCCTCTGGTTACACTCAGGTGCCTCATTCTCTCCAGGCCATAATCTATAATAGTCTTGTTTCTCTACTGATTCCATTACTTGTTCCCAAGGGGCTTGACAACATCTGCCCTGTCATACATCAGTTCACCACCCAGTGGTGCAGATCCAGCCAATCTGTCTGCCTGTACTGTTTTTTATAAATCCTATGAATTCCTACTAGTAACTATTGCTGTCTCCATAATCCAGTATTGATATTTTATTGAACGACTATTGTTTGGTTCAGTTTACTGTTTGTTTTAGTTTTTTAGGAATAAGCTTTCATTGTTTTTGTGTGTCACATGTTAACCAAAGGTTTTCTGATTTAAATTAGGAACTTAGTGCTCAAGATCTGGTTGATTTTTCTCCAGTTTACAGATGTTTGCATATTTACTCAGTGCTGGTAAGTTTAATTGCAGTCATTACATCTGTGACATATTCTCTTAGTCTTGCTATGTTATATTTGACATATGTAACATAAGTTTTCTGTTTGTTTAGGACAGTTGGTAATAGTGTTAGTAAGTAAAGTAAGTAAAGGTCCCTTTTCCATACCTTTAGGCGTATAGGGCATATAGGGCTAGACCTGTATTTTTATAGACCAATCAGCACAAGATTAGTGATGTGGTCAGCATCACACCGGCCGCCTTTACTTCCCGGGACTGCACTTGGTACCCACTCAAGGCTGGGTCGACCTGGGAGTGAAAGTCATTTTTGACAAAAGTCCCGCTCCACCAGGGAGCAAACCCACTGCCTTCCGATACACACGGGAGTGTCTAGCCGTTACACCATATTGATTCCCAGTGGTGATAGTCATACAGTTAATTAAAGGCATCTGATGAGAGGGTTTGGCCATCTGTTGAGAATGAAGTGGTACCAACTGACACAGACACACACATAAGAAGTATGAGGGACACATTACAGGGAAGATCAAGCAAACAGTGGAATGACAGCATCATGAAAAGCTGTGAAGTAAGAAAAATCAAATTAAGTTACACATTAGAAGGAGCACACAGAAGTTCCTTACAACTCCCCTTGACACTTCGATGAGATAACTGGAGGAAGAGGAGGACATTTACAAATGTTATACAGAAAAACAGTAGAAGATTGGAAAGGGTCAAAGAAATAATCAACCATATGAAACAGCTTCTTACATCGAAAAACCTAAAATGACAGACAAAATGAAATTAATAGTCATTATATATTACATATACTTTTGAAGACTATGGTGCATAAAAAGAATGACAGGGAATAATGCGGGAGAAAAATCAAGGTTTTTGGAATAGTTATAATTGACGGACTGTGAGATTACTTAGAAAATCACTGGTTTAGCTTTTCATGGGATTGAAAGAGTTAATCTTCAGTGCCACTTTGTAGTTTTATATATTTAGTTTATGGAAATAACACTGGGCAACTAACTCAACTGTAGCAAAAATGTTCTTTGTCAAGAGAAGAACATTCCTGAGACAAGAAAAATAACAATGTATAAAAATGTATCAGTGAATACAAGGAAAATATAGTTACCAAGATTCGATGCTACAGGACACATCAAACAGTGGTAAAACTGAAATTTACAAGCACACTAGATTTTATTTTGAATATGTCACCTCCATATTACACTTGAGCCTACAGGAAGCAACCACTTCGACATATAACCATCAAGCCTGATGTCTGTTTTTATCTTTGTTTTATATGGGTTCTGTGAATATATTTAAACTGAGGTTCTTTGTAGAGCAGATGTTTGCTTAATAGTGTTTTAAGTCAGCTTAATCTTCATTAACGAAATTTGTTACAGTTTGTTGTGAACTGCTAAGACTGTTGTGGTATGACACTCTATTCTTGTTTTTGTACAGGGAGATAAAGAAAAGTTTGAAACATATTATCGGTCACAACGTTGGAAACAAGCTAGGCTTTCTCTACAGCCGCCTCCTAATATGGTAAATAACATAAACAGATGTTCTTCAGTTGTTTTTGTGTGTGTCAGTTTACTGTACCACACAGTTTAGAGAAAGAGCTTTGACAAAATCGTACAAAACATTAGTATGTGATACTGTCAGTGAAGAAGAAAAATACTGATATTTTACTAGATCTGGAGAGGAAGATAACTAGCTTATGAACATCATATCTTGGAAACCAAAATACTTTGGCCACATTCAGTAATTCAGTGAGTTAGAAAGACCGGTATTGGAAAGCATGTTTCCTAAGGGATAGATGAGCTGCGTGTGGAATGATGAGTCTGACAGTATGGATAGATAAGCAGCGTGTACTCCCTCAATGGAATGATGAGTCTGACAGTATGGATAGATGAGCAGCATGTTCTCCCTCAATGGGATGATGAGTCTGACAGTATGGATAGATAAGCAGCGTGTACTCCCTCAATGGAATGATGAGTCTGACAGTATGGATAGATGAGCTGCATGTGGAATGATGAGTCTGACAATATGGATAAGTGAGCAGCGTGTTCTCCCTCAATGGAATGAAAATTTTTACAGTATGAATAGACCAGCAGCATTTTCTTCCTCATTTGAATGATATGTCTGACATTATGGATAAAGAAGCAGTATTTTCTCCCTCACTTAAATGATACATCTGACAGTATGGATAGATAGGCATGTTTTTTCCAAGACATATAGATAACTGTTTTGTGTCAAAGGATTGTCCAAACTAGTGTTAATTAATGTAATCACTAGATGATGAATATGCGTGTCATTTCAACAAGAGCAAATGGGTACATAGTGCTTGTCTGAACAGTTTCAGTTGCCAGCAGTAAAAGTTAATGAATAATTTGTAAATATGATTATCTAGCTAATGCAGATGGACACACTGGGATTGTCTGAATAATCTGAAGGCAAGAAAAAGAATCCTTACCCTCTTTATATATATATATATATATATATATATATATATATATATATATATATATATATATATATATATATATATATATATATATATATATATATATATATATATATATATATTCTAGGGTCTCATTATAGGGAAAGGCTATAATGAGGCGCTCCCCCCCCCCCCCCCCAAACAAGCATGTGGTTAAGTGACTTATTTGGGGTTTTATAGTCTGCACACAAAACTCAGTTTCTGAAACAAGACCAAGGTCCAGAAATGAACTAGAACTTTTCCAGCAGAGGTTCAATGCCAGTAGGTAAACACAATGAAGATATACTGCTACAAACTGTTTATTTTGGACTACTCATAGATTGCATCATACCTACCATTACTTCTTCTTAGACCTGTACAGGCTGATTTGGTAGAATATTCATGGGTTTCTTCTATTCTTACGCGAAATTTGTGGGTAATTGATGGATGTGGTCATTATCAAAGCTGTTGCCTTTATTTCCCAGAACATATGCTGGTATCAGTTTTTAGGCAAGAGCAACCCAGGAACTGACGGGATTTTTTAAAACTGAACCACATTGTGGATTTGACCTTAATTCCATGCTGTCTCCACAACTGAGGCATTTCTTAGTGCATCCACTGCCTATCTTTTGGATGTATTTTCCCGAGTGTGATTCTTGTACCATTTTCTAAAGGCCTGTAGACTGGTCTTTTTCTCTATCCACCACTGAAAATGAACCCTGTACTGGAGAATTATAGAACACATTCACTAATCTTCAAGCCACAGAGCCACACATGGTATGAATTACTGCTCTATAAAACAGTAGAGAAACATTATAATAAATGAGCATTGATTTCCTGTTTTTTTTGTAAGTGTGTGTGTGTATGGAAGGATGTATAAATCTGCCATTTGTTTGTTTCTTTTCAGCACGAAAGTTTAGACTTATTTAAACATTACTTTCACGATATCATAGGGTAAGTTACTTTTATTTGTCTTTTTCACTTCTTTGTTTCGAACCATGCTCACAGCTTATTTTGTTAAGGTGTATTTTATAAATTGTGTGAAGTTAATAGTTATATATGTTCATTGTAATTTACAATTATTAAGTTTATATCTATAAGCAACAATATATTTTTTTATAGTACACCTGCAAAATGGAGGAGGCAAGAGCTGCTCTGTTTAACTGCTGAGAGGGCAAGGTAGAAATAAGAAAGAGGAACCAGAAGAAAAAGGAAGAATAAAAAAAGAAATAACCTGGTTTATTCTTATAATAATTTCTGATTCTGAACTGGCCAACAAAATCTGTTGACATGCCAGTTATAGATTCTGATGTATGCTCTATATAACAGTTCACCAGGTGCTACACACTGATTATCTTCTATTCTCTTTTTGTGATATCCTTATCAGTTTTAAGAATTGAAAGAAATAGCTGAACGAAGCTGTGCTTTCCTATACTGTGAATGCAGTCTCCATTATACCATTCGTCCATCTCATATCAAGAAAGCCTTGTACTGATCTTACATCTCATTACATATATTAGATTGTGGGACAGACTGTTTGGTGATTATCATGTTCTTATTACCACTGAGAGAATTAAGAGAACTGGTTACTTGCATCAGAAATAGACATTAGAATTTAAAATGAGAAGAAAAAACTGGAATGTGTCATGACAGAAAATTTGAAGGAAAAGAGAGTTTAAGAAAGTCTCAGTAATACGATATCATCATCATCATGTAGCAGGTCCTTTGCAGAACGTCGTTCTCATCACGGTTTGCCTGAAAGAAACTCGGTCTCTTGCCAGCTCTCCTGTCTCATGTACTTTTATACTCAAGGAGTCACTTATATCCTGTGCCCATCTTCGTGTTGGTCAGCCCCTGCCCCTCCTTACTGGTACCATGCCCTCTGCTGTTATTTTGTCCAGTCCGTTGTGCACTTGATATGACCAGAATATTTCAGCTTGCGAGACAGGATGCTGTTTATTAGCCAATCTTCCTTGATGTTCAGATCTTTTAAGATGTCAGTATGTCTCCTCTTCTTTGTCCAAGATATTCTGAGAATCTTTCTTTAGCATTTCAGCTCCAAAGCCCCTATTCTCTTTCTTAAGGACTGGGAGATAGTCCACGACTCACATCTGTATGTTGCTACAGGAAAGAAGCATGCTCTCAAAATTCTAATTTTGAGCTCCTTGCTGGTGCTTAACCATAGACTGTTAATGCTGTTTAATCAGAATACAATGTAGTCAGCTTGAAGTCATCACATTTTGAAAAATCTGTAAAGGGGAGGATTAGCAGTCCATAACACATAAGTCTGTAGCTATACATACATGATGATGATGTCCTCCCATTTGAAATAGACTTTAAAAGGGTATTGTAAACACATTAATAGGAGAATTGGCTCATAAATAGAACTCTGGCCCAATAGCTAAGGTATGTAGGACAAGTTAAATGTCATAGTGACCTGCAGAGAACGGTGATGGAAGGTATAGTTTCCAGAAAATGAGACAGAGGCAGACTTCCAAAAAAGGTGGATACCAGACATTGAAGATGCATAGGCAGTGAAAGTAGTAGGAGACATCAATAAGTAAGTCACACAAGGTTGTTTAAAAAAAACAACCACTAGATGATAACAACTTGAAAACCATTTATTTTTACACATGCACTGTCCCTTTTTTTTTTAAACATTATTTCCACCAACACTGATGCACTTGTCTCATCGTTTTATCAGCCCTCTGAAACCTGCTGCATAGAACTGTGCTGTTTTCTAAACCATATTTTACTTCACTGTGTCATTTGCGAGGATTGTCAGTGCGCCACTTTACAGGATAGACATTTGTCAGCATAAATAAGAAGCATTTCCTTATGAATGCAGGCAGCCCTTTTGCCCTCAAATAACGCACAACAGCACGTTGTTCTTTGAATGTACACTCCGTAATTACAGTTGCCATTTTGTTTCTGTGTTGCAAATGCACTTGCAACATCTAGTGCCAACTAGCACTTTCAACACCTAGCGCCACCTAACGAACGGAGACACAAAGTTCATGTTGCTGTTACCTAATGACACCTTTAGAAACTACCAACTACATTTTTCTGCCATCTCATAACAATTTATGACTTACTTATTGACTTCCTCTCGTACATAGGGCTGGAAATTTACTGACTTCCTCTCGTACATAGGGCTGGAGAATTACTGACTTCCTCTCGTACATAGGGCTGGAGACTTACTGACTTCCTCTCGTACATAGGGCTGGAGACTTACTGACTTCCTCTCCTACATAGGGCTGGAGACTTACTGACTTCCTCTCGTACATAGGGCTGGAGACTTACTGACTTCCTCTCGTACATAGGGCTGGAGACTTACTGACTTCCTCTCGTACATAGGGCTGGAGACTTACTGACTTCCTCTCGTACATAGGGCTGGAGACTTACTGACTTCCTCTCGTACATAGGGCTGGAGACTTACTGACTTCCTCTCGTATATAGGGCTGGGGACTTACTGACTTCCTCTCGTACATAGGGCTGGAGACTTACTGACTTCCTCTCTTACATAGGGCTGGAGACTTACTGACTTCCTCTCTTACATAGGGCTGGAGACTTCTTGACTTCCTCTCTTACATAGGGCTGGAGACTTACTGACTTCCTCTCGTACATAGGGCTGGAGACTTACTGACTTCCTCTCGTACATAGGGCTGGAGACTTACTGACTTCCTCTTTCACATAGGGCTGGAGACTTACTGACTTCCTCTTGTACATAGGGCTGGAGACTTACTGACTTCCTCTCTTACATAGGGCTGGAGACTTACTGACTTCCTCTCGTACATAGGGCTGGAGACTTACTGACTTCCTCTCTTACATAGGGCTGGAGACTTACTGACTTCCTCTCTTACATAGGGCTGGAGACTTACTGACTTCCTCTCGTACATAGGGCTGGAGACTTACTGACTTCCTCTGGTACACAGGGCTGGAGACTTACTGACTTCCTCTCTTACATAGGGCTGGAGACTTACTGACTTCCTCTCGTACATAGGGCTGGAGACTTACTGACTTCCTCTCGTACATAGGGCAGAAGAATTGACTAGAGAAAGAGGGACTTTCAGGCATGCCATGACGAGTACAAAGTTCTGAAAAGTGCCTGCTAATTGAAGATGATGAAACACAAAAATAAGGCACTCTCAGAAAACAGTTTAGATGTGAAGAAACACTAGCCGTTTTTTTTTACTGCTTTCTCTACTTCTTTCTATGAATGCCAGTCAGTTCATGTTAATCTGTTGATCATACTGTCTCTATGGCCTCAAGGGCTTTTCAGCTACCTTGTTTCTCTGAAACTAGGACCTAAACTGAAGGCAGGCCCTAGCGTGATTTTTCATTATACGCATAATATAAGCCCAGCCCAAAATATAAGCCTTAGTTAATGTCGTCAGCCAGACGGATGGATTTCGTTCATCTGTTAAAACACACAACATACATAATAAATTATAAGGTAATGGATTTGGAAATAAAGAAATTGACATTACTGCTTGAAAAAAATAATATGTTATAAATAATTATTTCAAAAATAAATGTACAAATAAAATAAAAAAAAAAACATATCCTATGAAAGTAAGCTCTAAGGTGACTTCCGAAAGACAGATTAATGTAAGACCTGATCTTATTTTTGGTGAAACCCACTATTTATTTCTTTAAGAAGATAGGTTTTCTAAAAACAGCAAGATACACCAACGTAGTACTTGATGTAGCCATCGGGTAACCTAATATCTCATAAATTTTAATGGAACTTCTTGATTTATTCCTCTTTGAGCAATATCCAGTTTGCTGTGGTGTCATGTTTTAGGTTAAAAAAACGATCACTTAGTCACTTCACATATGTTTTGTGTGTACATAATTTTAGGACACGATAACCTGTCTATTCTCTGACTTTCCCACAGTTTTTTTGTTGTTGAAGACCACATCCTGCATACCTCCCAGGGACTGGTCACACGGTCACACATGGATGAGCTGTGGGAGAAAGCAGTGGAGAAACTGTGTGCCACGCTGCGCTCCACTTCAGTAAGTCTCTGTATATTGCTGTTATATGTCAGCATGTGGTTTTAGAATGTGCTACTGAAGTTTCAGCCTCAAATGTTTTGTGTGTGTTTCCATTGGTTAGTGTTGAATTGCACATGCAAACTGGATTTGTTTCTGATTTTGTCGCATTAGTAAACATTTTGTGCTGGCTTTTGGTATTTCTAGATGTCTAGTTTGATTTGCTTTGCAAAACATGGAGTTGTTGCATGCTACAAGAGATTCTATTCAGTTATTAATGCTTTAGAAAAAAAGCCAGTGACCTGTAACTTCTCCAAAACCTTTAAAAAATGTATTTTACACATCTGAAAGTGGGGAAAAGGGCCTCTTTTTATGAATGCAGCAGAGAATTAACCATGTTACATCTCTTGAGCCTTAAAAACTGTATATCATGACTCATTCTTGACCCTGTGACACTGTTGCCAGGCTACCACTGGAAATAATGGGAAATTCTGACATCATAATTTCAGTCATGAAAGAAAATGCAATTTTTCCACAAAAGAGTCATCTAAATGGAGTCATTAGCAGATATAAAAGATTAGTTATGCAATTTGGGATTGAAAATAACAGCATCTCACTTTTGTCTTTTTTTTTTCATGTCTCTTTCTTTGTCTATCCCGCCTTCTCCAACTGTTCCCTTTTCCTTTCATATACTCTTGTCTATCTACTTGTGTATGTTGACAGTGCGTATAGTTTATGTTGCATTAACCATGATGGAAGTGTTATTCAGTGCTGTATTCTACTGTTTTGCTTTCTTATGATGGTTCAGTAAAAGAATAAATGCTTTTGTAGTTATTACCATGCATCACTAACAGTAACATACAATTTTTCTATGCTTTTTTCCTTTCATATCTTTGTTCACATATTTATGGTTTCTTCTCTTGGTATGTAATTTATTTCTGTTCACTAGTTGTACATTACATGCTGGTATTTGCAGAAGCCTGTTGGGTATAATTTCCTTGCTTTTGTGTACAATGCTACACAACATCTACTTGTTTATTCACACAGTTGTTTAATCTTAGTTGTTTGTTTTAAACATTTACTCTTTGCAGGCTAGATTGGTCTATGTTCTGGGCAGGTCACCTGAGGTACCTAGAAATTCAGTTAAACTAATCTGTTACTGGAAACATATTTTACAATATATTTTTACAGGCAACATATTTGTAATGAAGAAAATGCTATCTTTGTATTTATTACTGGGGACACCACCCCCCCCCCCCCCCCCCCCCCCCCAAGTCACAAGGAAGCTTTAGTAGTAGCTCTGTGACCTCGGGTTTGAATCTGCATTGAGGCATATTTTATAAGCTTTTATTAAGTTCAGTTTTGTTTGTTGCTGGACCTTCAGGTCAACTCAGTCTAAATTGAGTACCAGTATATGTCAGGAGAAGTAAAAGTGGCCATTGTAATGTTGCATATCACCCATTGAGTTCCGATTAGTCTGTACAAATATTGATCTAACAGCATATGCCCGATGTCCAGGCGTGAAAGCATTCCTTTACTTACCTGCTAACTCACAAATTATAAATTATTTCTAATTTGATATTGAAAAAGAATACAAAGATAGCATTACTGTGTTCTGACTAACATGCATGTTTTCATAGGTGATGGTTTATGCTATTTTAATGATCTTCTTGGAAGGTTTTTGATTTAAAAAAAAAAAAACTGACTTATCTCTTTTATGTATTTTGAAATATACACAACCTGACAATTACTGGTTCTCAATGTACCTTCTCAGTGGTTACATTGCACTATTGGTTGCATCATTTGTAATTTGTTATATCTGAAATTCTGTGTTGCATCATTTTTGTTAAATCTGCATGATTCTTAGCAACTATGATGTGACAGGAGTCTCAGTGGCTCAGAGTTTGCTTCTCATGTTCTGTGACCACATTGGGAGGGGTAGGGGGGGGGGAGGCTTTTCCATTACAAGCATGTCATATAAGTCAGCTAGTTAAGGATTTGCTGAAATTAGAAGCGTTGGGCTAAAGAGCAGTTTTCACAGCGCAGCTGTAAACCACAACATAATGTGCAAACCACCTTTTAACGGTGAAGAAGAACAAGATGCTCTGTTGGACACTTTGGGCAGCAGGCTAGCCATTCTGTAGAGAGGCTTGATTTATTCTGGGATAATAGAGTTCAGTACACTGAAGTAAGTTCTGTGGACTTTTTAAACCTTGTTTTGAGTGCTGGGCAGCTGTATGCTGTGAAAGCCAAAATTAAGAGCATTTATTCTTGTTACACTAAAGGAAGTTGCATAAATACTTTTCAGGTCACAGGTGGTTTTGAGCAGCATTTACAGTGTGGGGTATAATGTTTATAAACTTTATATTTAAAATAATGTGAGCAATTTCACAAGTTTGGTGCAGGATGCCCCCTTTCTTTGAGTACTCTTAGAGTGCTGAAGCTTGAGGATCACATGTTTGGTGCCAGTTTTTCTTCTCCTTTAAGTATTCTTAAAATTAAAAAGTATAACAATTATTTGTTTGTGCAGGACTGTTTTCCTCACTCTTGGATTACTAAAGTTTAAGAATCAGATGCTTCATGTAAAATATTTCTACCCCTTTGAGTACTTTTAGAGTGCTACAGCTTAAGGATTTTATGCTTACTTGATGCACATTTTTACCCTATTTTCAGTGATAAGGTTTGAGGATCACATGTTTGTGTATGAATTTCACCTATTATTTTTGGACTGTTTGAGTGCTGATGTTTAAAAGCAAAAGATGTTTGTTTAGTGCCAGTTAGGGTTAGGGTTCTTCTTAGCTTTCTTTGGCTGTAAACGCCATTTGTTTGTCCACTACTGAACTTTTCATCTTGATCCAGAAGTTGGGTTTTGCGTGCACATCCTTTTTACAGATTTTGTTTGTGTGTACACTTGGTTCCTTGCCTCTCAGGAAGATGCACTCCAACTTTGAAGGAAGCTCCCCCAATTAGTTGTCATAATGTTTATTAGGGGGAGTTTACAGCTGGTGAACCCTATGAAGAAGAAAGATAGATTTTGCATGATTCATTATAGTTTTCTAGCTTCAGAATGACAGTGTAAAGCTACCTATTTGCAGATCAGGCAGTTAGACACCCAAGAGAAGCCAAACTCAGTCAAAGCAACCCCCAAAGATATGGGTGATCACATTTCTGAGGAGGATAATGATAATGAACTAGCAGATGAGGTTGGGCAGATTTAATTACAACCCGTTTGCTGATAGTCCTGTATCTCCTTTCCTCTTTGTCACTTTAGCATGACCTACACAGCTATGTACTTCACAGAATCATATGACAGCAGTCACAACTGAGACAGCATTTCACTAAAAATTTATACATAAAAACCCTTCGTGTTTGGCATGGCCACATATGTTTTATCACAGAAAAAACTTATTAAATTTAATTAGGAAATAAGCTGTTTTCTAGTAGTTTTGTCATTTGTGTAACAGAACGTAATTGAACATGCTAGTTTCTCAAGTCTATCAAAATATAATAGTTGTGAACAGTAAAAATTGTCTCTGTTAAAACATAACCAAGTTAAATTATAGTAGTAACTTATTTATGCAGGGGAGATATGTTAGCAGAGTGGCTAAGCGCTTGCCTGCCTACTCTAAGGTCTAGGATTCATTTCCACATAGAGAATGATTTTGTTGTTTGTTTTTAAATTGACTTTGCCTGCCCTGCCGGGTCGACACAGCCCGAAATTTGAACCAGATAATGTCCTGGGAAGTATAGGTGGTGTTGATATTGTCCACATCACCCACTGGATGATGCTGGATGATGTAAAAACAATATGAGCCTAGCATCAAATGCCTGATGCGCAGGCACAAGATTCCTTTTATTTATAAGGCACAAGATTCCTTTTATTTATAAGGCACAACAAGATTCCTTTTATTTATAAGGCACAACAATATTCCTTTTATTTATAAGGCACAACAAGATTCTGTTTTTTTTTAATGGTTTCTTCCTTTTAGTTCTGAGGATTAAAAAAAAATTTTAGAGTACGGAATTGGTGTTAATGAAGCTGGGATGGACTGTTATCAAGTATGGGTCCACAGTGAGTTAATTAGATAGGAATAAAGGGAGTAATATAAGCCCCTTGCTGGGACTAAGAAGTTATTGAGATAATTTTATCTTTATATGTCATGCAGTATTTTGGTAATATTTCATAGAGAAAAGAAAAATAATCAAACCTATAGGGAAACAATCAAATACAGAGGTTCTTTTGAGAATGGGAATGACACGAGAGCTGTTGAAAGAAAGAAATAAAAGAGGCAGATTGAAATATTTCAGTCACCTTAAAAGATATAACATTCTTTTGAAAACTGCTAAGTAAAGGACCATTTTACACTAGTGACACATCAGTCATGCTAAACTAATTTTTAAAGACCATCATTAGGTGGTCATCTTTACTTCCCAGGATATACATGGTACCCATTTTAGGCTGGGTTGACATGGGAGCCAAGGTCAATTTTGAAAAAAAAAAAAAAAATCTGCTTCTGTTGATTCAGACCCAAGACCTCAGGACCAGCAAGTGCGGGACATTGCATCCAGCCCTCATTATAGAGATGGCGCTAAATTAATTTGAAGGGCAATCTGTCCAGTTTGAGTGGTCCGTGATATCGTTTAAAATCAAAAACTGTCAACTTTAGAATCCAATTTTTCAATATTTATGAGTTACTGGTACCATCGGAATTGGAACTCTTTGCATGCTGCTGAAGATGGAATCGGGGTGCTTATGGGGTGTTCTGAGTGCTGTGATCTTGATTCTTAATTCAACATTAATATTTATGAACTGTAAGTTCTTCAGTATGGTTGTTCAGGTGTGAGTCCACGGAAGACCGAAAATAAGAGGTCCACAGCTGTTAAGCAATTAGTACTCTAGGGCATTGTTAAGGGTTAACCATACACACATTTTACCAGCTTTATTTATAGAAATAACTTTAAAAGAAAAAAATGCTAGTCCATACATACACTGTAGTTTTTTTTAGGAGTATTTAAACAGGTTAAGCATAACCTTGCTTCACCACCTCTGCCACTGTCTCCAGCAACTGCCTCATGTGAATATTATCCCTATTAATTAAATGCCTCCTTTCTCATGTGGGCTCTGAGCTCCATTTGGTTTGGGGGGAAATGGACCACTGTCCCCTAAGAATTCTAGTGAAATGTGACAACATACAACTACTCTTTCTGGTATGAACATAGAAGAAGAAAATGCTAACTTTTTCGATGCTACCAAAAAGTCAGGGCCCAACTCATTAGTGTGACAGCTGACTTATTTTCTAAGAAGCTACCCAAAAAAAAATTGTTGGACCCAGTGACTTCTATCACTAAAGCCTACAGAAAATTAAAAACCAACTTAGCTTTAAAAAAAAAAAAAAAACTCATTTGGGTCAAAAAGAAACCCTCCTAAATGCTTTTTTTAGTGACTATATGCATATCCCGGCCTATTAAACACTGCACGGGTGCACATAGCACCATTGGAATTTACATACACTTTTCAAAACTAGGTTCACTGCAGACATGGCCTTGTATCGGCATTTACGGTAATGTGTCACAACTAGAAGTGACTAGATTTAACCTTTTCTGAGTGACAGAGTAATTCTCTGATGTTTTTTTTTTAAACCCTTACATGCCTCAACTCACTCTCACAAACACACACATATGTGGAAATTATAATCATTAATTTGAAACCTGATATAATTTGCAGATTGCCTACCTTTACACCTCTCCTGCACTGCCCTCTTCCCATCCCATTTATATTAACTACTGTATCTATTATTTTTAATTTAAAGAGCTGTATAGTTTTCCCATTATGTATAGTATATTTTGTTTATAAATCTGACAATCATCTTAACATGTTGAAAAGCATATTGTTAATACATGTAATTGTTTCACACTTGTAACTATTCCTTTAAATTTTTTAAGCATGTAACAAAGTATTCTAATTACCTGTAGGAGAATTTGGGAGTTGATCCATCGATGGTCTTATCTATCTATTAAGCAAATAATGATTGCCATTACGTTCACTCTGATTTCAATTAACATATGAAAACTTTTTACTGTAACAATATAATCAGATAATCTGTAGGAAAATTTGGGATTGGGTCCATGGCGGGTCCTTATTTATTATGTATTAAGCAAATAATGATTGCCAGTATGTTCACTGTTCACTCTACCTTCAGTTAGCATATGAAACTGTTTACTGTAACAGTCAGTCAGTAGCTGTCCTTTGCAGAACCTTGCTTCCATAACAACCTTTCCGAAAACTTCTCGATCACAAGCAAGATATCCCGCGTCCGATACACCCATCTGGAGATCGTTCTTTCCATGGTGATTGTAAAGTTTGCCAGTATGTAAGTAAGTAAATTTACCCCACCAGGACATCACACAGAGCGATAAACACTCGGTGACACAAAGTGTCACCATGCAGATGAGGATCACCAGTGGAGGGGTCCCAGAAACTCCTTTCAGCCGTTAGGCCATATTTATGGCCCGGCTATATTCAGGGCCCAGGCAAAAGCCAGAGTAGGGCTTCAAATAACAAAAAAATTGCATCCCACATGGCGTTGACTGTATTACATTAATCGATTTGCCAGTATGTTCACTCTACCTTCAATTAGCACATGTAACTGTTTAGTACCATATTCAAAGTATCTAGGATAATTTCGAAGTAGGTCTACAAATGTTCTTTTTTTTAGTTGTTTCCTTGTGTGGATTTCAGTGGTGGAGGAATAGCCCCACCACGCATTTTATATAACAATTAATGTTTGCTGAAATTAGATGTGTTGCGCCAAAAGTTGCAGATATCATGGCCTGTTTACTGTAGTAACATATCCAGTCAGCATAGTACAGCATTTTGTAGTAATCATATGGCAACATGTTATTAGACAACTTGTGATGCACTGTGTTAGGGATGAGCCTTAAATATATATTAGTCAACTCATGATACGTTGTGTTAGAGGTAAGCTCAGTGTTTTAGTTTATTAAACATGTCATTATACTATGAATTCCTGTGAGTCTCATGTTATTTATTTATAATAAGAAATGATGCACTGAATTAGAAGTGCCCTGTATTATTTATTATTAGACTTATGTTGCAGTAAAGAAAAGGACTCTTTTTTCCCCCATACCTTTAGGTATAGAGGGCATATAGTGCTAGACCTGTATTTCATAGACCAATCGACACTCATTGTGTGATGTGGTCAAGATCAGGCTGGCTGCCTTTACTTCCCAGGACTTTACCTGGTACCTATTTAAGGCTAGATCAATGTGGTAGGCTAGTTCATTTTAAGGGAAAAGTCTGGCTCCGGATTTGAACTCACGAACTTGAGATGTGTAGGCAAGCATTTAGCTGCTACACTGCGACAGCTCCCTTATGATGCAGTGAGCTAGAAATAAGTCAAATGTTGCTTAAAATTAAATGACTAAAAATATGTTCTACATTATTTATTATATAGGTCATGTTGACCACATCATCCAGCAAATGCAGATTGGTCTATAAAATATGAGTCTAACATTATTTACCTCATCTCATCCTGATCCTCTGATACCTTGCGGTGTCGAGGTGAAGTATATTTTAAAGAAATCTCCCCTGTTTGTTTGCTTCATAAATTGCGATTCTCATGGACACCATAATTCCCTCTGTCCATCGCTTGCATGGTCTGTCTCTTCTTCGCTTCCCGTCTGGTCTGTACTTCATTGCCTGCTGTTTAACATTGTCTTTTGACATCCACGTCATACATCCAAACCATGTCACCTGTTTTCTTCTAAATGAAATCCAGAGCTGCTGCTCCCCTCATTTTCCTTTGGATTTCATCGTTTCTGATCTTTTCTTGTTATATTGTAATTTTTCTTTCCTCTTTTTCTGTCATTGGCCAGGTCTGGCATTGATAACATACGGTTGGCAAAAAGATTGTCATACTGCTCTTTTGATTCTTATAGATACATGTGATACCCCATGGCATAAAAAGCGCTCTTTGCTTTCCCCCCCATTAATTTTAGATGAAGCACTGTGTTAAAAATAAGTACAGTGTTATTTACCAAGCTTGTGGTGATAATGATGCATTTTAAAACTTTATTCTTCTTTTGTCGTCTCACTGATACCAGGTTGTAGCTGAGTGTCATGGTTTTCTGTATTTATCTTGCGCTTCTCAGGTGGCTTGGGTGATGGATTTGTTCATCTTTTTGCAGGTTTCGGCTACACCATTTATCTATCTCTTTATTGGTCTTCCTCTCACCTTCCTCCCAGATGTTCTGCTGTAAAAAAAAAAGACTGATTTGCAGTTTGGCCTGGCTGCATTCTCACTAGATGGCCGACTATTTCATTCTTTGTCTGTCAATATAATCCAGGCATGGTCTTATTTAAACTTTCTCTCTAATGCTGGTATTTCTTACCCTGACTCTTCTCGCAAGTAGTTTGCCACTTTCTGGACGCCGGCTTTCTTGACAGTCAGCCCCGCAGCTGGGACGAACCCAGCATCTCCTTTTAAGGGCAGACACAAAAATTTAAGAAGAAGAATTATATAGTTTCTGATGTTTCTACTGTATTCAAAATAAGTGGCATAATGGATGCATTTGTAATACGAATGAATATAACTGTTTATATATCTGTTGTAGACATTTGCATTTTGATAGAAATATATTAAAGTTATCAATATAAGTGTTAATTTACACAAATGATCACTGAGGGAAGAGTTGTCTTTTGTAAATACCATGTTTTGTTGGGGTCCATTTTTTTGGCATGACAACATCTGCCTTTTTGTACAGTGGGAAAATTGGAAATTGGCTTTTCTTAGAGATGGAGAAACATTGGTTAGGAGATAACTCATTTCATATTGAGATGATATAGTATATACAGGAATTCTTGGCATGTCATGCTTCTATTGAAGTATAGATTATAGCGATGTAATATTTTGAGAGAAAAGATTCACCACAAACTATAAGGTCTAATTTGAGAAGAAAGAAATGACGACCAGTCGAGAACAATTCTTCAGTAATGTCCCTAAAAAAACAGCATAAACATGTTTTTATACTGAGCATTAAAATCCACTTTCTGAAAAGTTGCACATGGCCTTCCCTTTTGCAACATTATGAATGAAATAAGAGCCGTATATTTTGCCTTATTTAATTTTGAGTTCTCAGTTAGATGGGCTACTCTTGAATGGAGTTGGGTAAATGTTTGGATTATTTTTGACAAAATAATTATACTAAGAATTAATATCAGTTGTTAAGTGGGTTGACCAAAATATATAGAACATTTTAGGTGTCATGTTGGTTTAAATATATATATATATATATATATATATATATATATATATATATATATATATATATATATATATATATATATATATATATATATATATATATATATATATATATATATATATATATATATATATATATATATTCCATTGCTAAATATGCATGTCTGTACTAGTATTATACCTCTTTTAAATTGTGCAAATCTAAAGTGTTATGAAATGAATAACTTGAGAGAGAGAGAGAGAGGGAGGGAGGGAGGGAGGGATATATATATATATATATATATATATATATATATAGAGAGAGAGGAGAGAGAGAGAGAGAGAGAGAGAGAGAGAGAGAGAGAGAGAGAGAGAGAGAGAGAGAGAGAGAGACTGCACTGTGTGTTATAGAACTCACCTTTAGAAATAGCATTCCCTTTACTGCCATCACTTATGTATTTAAAATCTTATCAAATACATAGAAACATAGATTTGATAAAAACAAGCAGTATTGTCAAGAATCCTGTTTTAGATACCAGTGAATCAATGTTTTCTTTTTTGTTTACAGAAATCCTGTAAAATAGCAAACCTTATGCTGGAGGTGAAGAAATTGATTGTACTGTTTTGTCACACATTGAAGGTGAGCTATATATAATTTGTCTTTAGAAACTTTTACAGTTGGCTATAAAGTGTTTCCTGTGTGACATTTTACTTTCACAAAGTTAGTTGTGGCATAGAAAACGACTAGAAAAGTTCACTAATAAACTACAGACGTTCATTAACTGATACCTGCACTTATAAGAGAGAATTAAAGGGTATGATAGAATCACTACTATTGTTGCACTTTGGGAAACTAAACAAACTCCAGTGAGTAAAGAGGCGAAGAAAAGATGCTGGATACGTGATAGATCACTGCCCTCTAACAAGGCTGTTGTAAAATGCGACTAATTTAAGTTTTTGCGGGAATCATTTGTGTTGAGCCTAAAGGTAGAGATATGCAGCCTAGCTGTAAATCACAGCACAGTGTGTCAACCACCCTTGTTAGCTGAACAGAGAAGAACATTAGCCTATTGTTACTGATCTAATGCAGCGATAATAAATGTATTACTTTATAAAGAATTATTCAAATTATGTATTACCATAGGGAATTAAAAAAGTAATTGTTAATTATCCTCTTCAGGGCTATGGCTTCAGTGTTGGTCGATTGTTAGAGTTGTTGCTAGAAATGAGGTAAGTGTTACTGAGAAGATGAATTAAGTTTATCACATTTAATGTATTGGTTTGAGTGTGAAAGTTGGCAGAATATGCCAAAGAATCACTAAGATATGGATATAATGATATTGAGATAAAAAAAAAATTGTCAGCAAGCCTTGTGACATATAGTGACACACAACAGGGCAAAATGGGATGTGGGATGTATAAAGGGAGCGAAGAAATAAAGAGGTTCCACGACTGCAAACCTATGACTGTCCCGTGACCTGTCAGGATATTAACAAAGCACAATAGAATCAAATTCTAGTATCAGCAGTTATAAGACAGAGAATATTGCACTATATAATGGACATGTTCTGAGAAGATGTAAATAGACAATCACCAGACAGGCACCAAAATAGAAAATTTTGGGATTGAGGAAACGGGAACGTCCAAAAGAAAATTTAAGTTAGATGTTTATGAGAGAAGCCAAAGATACTGTACTGAATTCTATCTGTGATATCAGAAGGATTGCAAAGCATATGGTAGAACAGAGAAATAGTCTGCGAGTCGTGTTTGACATATACTGGCACAAGAGGATGATAAATGAATTGTGCACTCTGTTGTATCTACTTTGTTGAAAATTGTTTTTTGTGTGTGTTATTTTTAATAAAACTGCATACGATGGCTTGGAGGTTAGCAAATGCGGTTAGCAGTTAAATTTTTCTTGAGTACTCTGGTTGGTTTTCCCTCATGGATGACTTAGAAGAGGAAAAAATGGTATGAGAATCATGCTGTGGAAGAAATTGAGACATTGGGGTCTCCCCATGTAATATTTCCAGAGACAACAGTGATACACTTGATACACTTCATTATAGAGGAAGCAAGAGTTAAAAAAACTTTTCTGTTGCTATTATAATATTCATGGGTAAAAACTTTTGGTGAAGAATGACTAGCTTATTGCTTTCACAAATTCCACAGAGACCGCTACAGTGTGATATTATCAGAACAGTGGGTGGAAATATTCAGTGGTATATTTGCTGAAGACAACTACACTCCAATATTCTGTGATACTCCAGAGGACTATTTGCTTATTACCAGCCAGTTTCCTTACAAAGATAAAGATTTAGAGACAGTAAGTGTGTCTTTATGCTCTTCCTTTTTTGTGTTCACTGCTGTAAACTCTTGTGGAAAGTTCTGGCCATTCATCTGCTTCTGGTCTTCTTCCAGAAGTTGAGTTTTGCAAGCACATCAATTGTACAGATCTGGCTTATGTGTATGCAGACTGCTAGTTCCTCACCTTAGTGAGAATTGCATTCCGACTTTGAAGGAAACATCTCTGATTAGTCACTTTTTGAGACAAGCTTGTTGGGTGGGGTGGGGCGGGTGCGGGGGGGGGGGGGGGGGGGGGGGGGGGGGGTTGGAGGGCAGTGGGTCTTTTCATTTTCTCCCCTCATTGTGCCAAGGAGTGTCATAATCAACATCAAAATAAATGGGACTGAACTAAAGCAAGTCATTATGTTCAAGAATTTGGATACCCCTGATAACTGCAGATGGAAGATGTATTAAAGAATTTAAATGGTGCTTTAAAGAATTTAAATGGAGAATAGCCGAAGCACATGCTGCAGTGCGCAGGATGAATAATATTCTGTGTCGGTCTTTCCCATTTGGTTGTCCTCAGACTTGTAAGAGTCCCTGTTACAAATTTTAATTAATGTTCCATAAATTATTTAGGTACACTGGTAAGCAATCCATGATATCAATTAAAAAAATATTTTTTTTTAAATTAAAGTAAAAATTCACAATTAAAATGATGTAATCTTTGTTTGCGATTCTGGTGTCTATAAATTAGAAAAAATTCTTCAGTATGTCTATTAAAAAGTCCATTAGGGGTTTTGCTGATTATTGAAAATAATGGGTACACAGGTCTTACCTGAAGCGGCAGTGTATTATTGTAATTGAGATGCTAAAGAGAGTTTTTAAGAAAACTATGGGGCAGCTTATAATGTGTAAATGTGAATGTTCAGATGAGTAAAGAAGTTTCAGATATTAATTATAATTTGTATATGTTGATACTAAGAACAATAAAGAGGCGTCAGGTATTAATTTGAATATGTAGATGGATATTTAGCCAAACACAGAAGGTTTGGATGTGCATTACGATGTGTAAATATGGGTATTTAGATAAACACATAAGTTTATGATGTTAATTTTACACCTGCTTGATAGAAGACATATGCAACTTACGACCAATTTAATTCAAAATAATAAAGAAAGAAAGATCACTACATTGATAGGGTCAAAAAGTTCCTGAAACTGATGTTGTTGAGTATATATTATGTTACCTGAAGATAAGCTCAGATCTGAAGCACCCTTTGCACCACATGCTCTTGAAAAAAACAGGGCAACAGACTAAAATACATAGCTGGGTAGGGCAGAGGATATCAGGCAGGTCTTCAGTCTTACAGAATTCCACCTTAGCAAGGAGTGGATACCTGTGCCTGAAGCTTTCAATTGCACATTCTCCGGTGTCATCATGCTTGATAGGAGTTGTCCTGTTACTGTCAATGCCGAGATCCAAGCGTTTATCAGTGACATTTCAGATGAGACAAATGTGCTGATCTACACAGATGGATCCTTTGTACAAGGAAATTAGAGTGCATGGGCATTTGCAGCTCCCTCTGCAGGCAGAACAGTCCATGAAGCCAGCCATGCCTTCTCTATGACTACCAGCAGCCTGACAATGGAGGTGATGGCAGTGACACAAGCTTTCAAATGAATGGAATCACAGGACTATTCCCACCTGTGTATGCGGAGTGATTCTGTGAGCATGAACAAGCAGATCGTTGTGGGCTCTTTTCACAGACAGTGGATTGAGTCATTACAAAACTTCTCTATACATGCAGTTACTTTAACCTTTGTACCAGGATATGGATGTGATTGTGACAGTGAAAGAGATGATAGATTGGGCGGTTCTGCATTAGTTGCAGATGGCCAGCGTATGGATCGTGCTGACATTGTTTATGCCCTTAGAGAGATAGGACGATCCGAGGATTTTGGGAGCAGCTTGTCCACATCACTGCTAAGAATATGAGAAAACAATGTTGGGAGTAAAGATCAGCAGAGCCTAGCATGAGAGGCACACCGGATGTATACACAGTCTTGTTATCCAGCATATGACTGGCAATATTAACCATGGGATGCTGATGTATATGTTGAAGGGGGATTCTAAGCACCTATGGATGTTTCCGGAGTGCTGTGAAGATAATTTTAACTCATAACTCACATATATTATATATTTTTCACATAGATTACGATAATTAAACATGCATAGACTGGATTTTTGTGTTTTGTGCACACAATTTTTATAACCTGTTTTAATTAAAATAGTGTTGAAAAAATAAATTTGACTTACGACCAGTTCAACTTCTGACCTGTTAGTCAGAACGTAACTTGGTCGGGTAGACCATGTAATGTGTAACTGTGGGTAGTTAGACACCAATTTAAATGTTAATTATAATGTGTAAATGTAGGTATTTAGCTAATGAATGTGAATCAGATCAGAAGACTGGACTCAGCTGAATGTGCGGATGAAGTCAATACTTGACTCAACGGACCAGATGGCAGGTACCAGAAGCGGGCTGTGGAGTGCAAAAGACACATGCTGTGAGACACGTAGAACACCCTGGCCATCCACTGCACCTGACTTCATCTCCAGCCTTCTAAAGTTGTCCTGCCACTGGATTCAGATGGATACAGGTGGGAGAGTGAGGTGGACGAAATTGCGCAACTCTTCCGCACTTTAATCCAATTCATCACGCTAGTCACTTTTTCGTTCATTTCATCCAACCCACTCATCAGATCCTGTGGCGATGGGCGAATGACAAAGCGACAGTCGTGGGTACGCTGGGAGTTGTAGTTGCAGACCTGCACATAAGCAGCTCAGGCCATATGGTCGTCTTCCACCGACCGGAGCAGCTGTGGAATTCAGCAGCCCCATGAGCGACTGATCAGCTCTCTTTAGGAATGCCCTGCTCACCTCCATTGAGGAAGGAGCTAGAAAAGGAGCCCTAAACATTACCAGCTCCACCACTACCTAACTAGCTTACCGTGGCTGGTGGGTGCCCTATCTCAGCGGTCAGCATACAAGGAGGAATGCCTGACCATCGGCTCCCAAAAAATAATCTCCTGTGGTGAGATACATGAAGGTCGACGTTCTCATGGGGGCCAGAAAAAGCGCTTTAAAGACACACTTAAGGCATCTTTGAAAGCCTTTAGTATAAACCCTGACACTTGGAGGCTGCAGCACAAGACCAGACTTTATGGCACACTTATATCCAAAATGGTGCAACGATCTGCGAGACATCTAGAGCAAGGGCAGCTGAACAGCGAAAACAGGCCAGAAAGAACAAACACACCCTTTGTCTACAGACACTGTGCCCTGCCCTCATTGTCCTAGACTCTTTCTGGCACATATTAGACTTATAAGCCACCTCCAAACTCACAAACATTTAACTTGAGTTTCATGACAGATGAAAGAAAAAGTAGTCTTCATCACTTGTGATGGACGAACGAACGAATCATAAGCCAATTATAGTGTTTAAGTGTTGGTATTTAGACGTTGACTTCTTTGTTTTCCAGGAAGCATACCCCAGGCAGTTCCCGTTCTCCCAGTTTGTGCCCAATATATATGTGCAGGTGAAGGAGTACATCAATGCTTGTTTGAAGTTCTCTTGTGACTTGCACTTAAGGTAAGCTCAAATTTTATAGCTGAAGCATCATATTTTGGATTTTTACAGATATTTGGTGAATGGAAGGTGATAAATTGTGATTCAAACAATTCCATGATTTTGTTTTTCGGTCAGCTAATATTTGTAAATGGATAAATAACCAAACTCTATGTTCAGCCCATCTTATATTCAGCCCTTCCAAACACCCCTCTTTCATACTGCAGTTGTATTTCATCTTTAAAGCATGTTGTTAATTTAACAATATGTCAAGTACAATGCACAAAAACGTGCACGGTAAATCATACATTCAAATAAAAATAATATAAAATATGCATGCATGCATTCAATAATACATGCATACAAACTAACATACACACACACACACACGCACGCACACACTACACATACACATGCATACACATAAATGTACATACACACACTACACATACACATGCATACACACATGCAACACATATATGTACACACACACACCAAATATAACATACATACATACAAGCACATACATACATACACATGTATGTATAAACATACGCATTCTGTATAAACATACTTATATACATACACACATATACACACCATGCACACACACACACACACACACACACACACATATATATATATATATATTTACATATATCCATATACAGCTCCGCTAAGATTGGTCCCAAGCCAGGCTGTAAAAAAGAGGAGGGTCTGGCTAAACGTGAGTGCTCACTCCCGAATAGTGGATAACCATGAATCAGCCAAACTGCCTTCACAGAGACCCCAATGAGGCAGCCCCTCCTCCATGCAGAGGCACAACAGCTCAATCACCTGTTTGCCATAAACTAGGATTACAAGTTACCAATGGACTATGATTTACAGAATATGGAACATACGAGGCATTAACGGAAAGGAAAACGAGGCAGTAGAGGAGATGAGAAAGGCAAAATTTAGATTCTTGGCTCTGACGGAAACCAAGAAAAGGGGCAGGGAATCCAGGTCATGATGAAGGTATGCTGCTCTACAGTGGTGTCCCGACTGAGAGGGCAGTAGGGGGGGGGGGGGGGGGGGAGGGGGTTGTTGGCTGTATTATGGCTCAGGTTAGTAGCATCAAGATATGAAAATTCATCTCTGAGTGAATTTTGATGCTAGATCTGAAAGAAGAACATAATATTGTCACTCTGTACGGACCAGATGAAGACAAGCTAGTAGATGTCAGAGAAGAATTCTTTGATCTGCTCCAAAGGACCATAGATGATTTGACATGATGAAATTATTCTCTTTGGAGATCTAAATGCCAGAGTAGGAAATGATCACTTTAGATGGGGTGGAGTGATCGGGAGATATGGTGAAGATGTTTTGAATGATAGTGGCAAGCGACTTCTGAGATTCTGCAGGGAACACAACCTTGTCATTACAAATTGAAAATTTCCCCAACTGCTACAAACCAGAAATCCATCCTACAAAAATATTATTGATGATTTATCTTACATGTGTATGCATACGTGTTTCTTGTTGGTAATGTGGAGTTTGTGCACTGAGTTGAGACTGAAAACATTCCTCCCCCCCCCCCCCCCCCCCCCCCCCAACAAGGATATCATAACATGTGATTAATAAGGGGTTTGCTGAAAGTAGATACGTTGGGTATAAGTTCACAGATATTGAAGCTGTGCTGTAAATCACAACACACCATGCCAACAGCCATTTTAGAGCAAATGCAGAAAAAGAAAAAGCCTTTTTCTTATTTTTGTTCTTTGTTAGTCATAGAGAAATAGATGACGTGATCTGAAAGTCTATGTCCGGTCAGTGTAATTAACATTTATTTTGCATTTTCTTTCTGTTCTTGTGTCAGTCACACAGAAATAGACGACATGATCAGAAAGTCTGCCAATCAGTTGCTGACTAAAACATTAGGTGGATCTCTTTCAAATCTCATAAAAAAGCCCAACCTCAGCTTGTTACAGGTGTGGTATAGATTAATGTTAATGTGTATGACATTATGATCACATGACTAGATTTAGAAGTTATGGAAAAAAAAACCCACAAGAAAATTTACTTATTTGCTTACCTGAAAAGACTGTCCCTAAACCTGTGCCCAGTAGATATGTTTGCACACACCACATTCCCTGCATCTTCTCCATTTATGTCCTTGGTTTCCTTTAATTTTTTGGTTCCTGTGGGCTCCGGTCAGATTTTTCTGTCCTATCCTTTATCAGCATCCTTTTCTCACCTCTTGATTTACTTCTTACCCAGAGCTCTTCATCAGTGATTCTGTCTTAGCCCTCTGTTCTGTAGGAGCATTAGTTAATATTATAGTTGTTTAAATCCAAACAAACAAACATTAATTTTTTTTTAAAGATTTAACAAAGGCCAACTGTGTAGTCAACAGACAAAACTAATTGCTTTGTTATGCTTCTATAACAATACATGTTTGGAATGCTTTATGACAGTGCATGTTTGTTTAACTGTAGATTGGGTTCAGAGGTGCTGTACTAGGTGATTTACTAGGAAGGGAGAATATGTTTTGTCAAGACCTGTCTACACCTTTCCACGGTCATTCTAAAAACTGGTTCCCAACCATAAAGCTGGCCTCTAAGTCAGAGCATATCTGCCTGAGAGGCAGAGAACCAACAGTATGCACACAAATAAACCAGATCTGTAAGACGAATGTGTGCACAGCACTCCTTCTGGTATGAGACCAGTGTCCAGAAATTGATTAACAACCATGGTTTTCCACCAGATGTCATAGCCGGTGAATGTGAAGAAGAAGAAGAAGTTTAATTATAGACTGAACAAAAGCCATCCACAGTTAAAAAAACAATAACCATTATGTCACCATAATAGCACTATAATAGGCTCTATAGCAGTAAATATTTTTATGAATGTATTAATTCTTTAGAAACTGCAGTTTAACAAGCATTTTTGTTGTTGTTGGTTATCACAGCTGATCCAGATTTCCATTAACATGAACTATTTAGAGAAGTCCTGTGAGTACCTGGAGGATTACATCTCTACTATAACTGGGTAAGTTATTCAAAATGATTAACTTAGTGATGGAAAAATTAGAGATGAAGAACTAGGGTGCAAATGACGAATAAATTATTTTAATGAAAAGGGTGCGTTTTTATTAATGAGAGTGAGAAATATAGATTACTGTGACACTTTATCACGGATAAATTAAAACTCACTACACTTTATTTCATGCAATGTTTTCATATTGTTGTCCTCGTCATATTCTTGGTAAATGTATATGAAATTAAAATATAATAATTACTGATAAATTCAAAGGAAAAGAGAGACGCCCCACTTATTTTCTTTCAAAAAGTTCTGACAGAGTATAGTACGACCGGCATGCGTTGGTTGAGGACTTTCACATCATTATTTTTATAATACCATCAATCTTCCCAGCCAAGTAACATGTATATCTGTAAGTTAGGGAGGGATCTTGGTGGCGAAATGGTCAGTTTATTTGCTAAAATAACTGAAGATCCTGGCTTCATTTTTAGTTCATATTAGCTAGTCTTTAGAGCGGGCCTTACAGACTGGTTTCCCGTAACATTATTAGTAAAACAGGGATGTGTTTTACCACCTTTGCTTTTTATCATATTTATAAGGCTATTCCAGTAGAGACCCAAAGACAGATTTAAAATTCTGTTTTCATACTAACCTTGTACTATCAGTGTCAGACTTGGAGAATGATGTGCAAGAAGTAAAGTGACCACCTGCGAAATAAGATGTTTGAGAAAAGTCATGAAAAAGAATTATGGAAACAGCACCTATAATTAATTTCATTGAAAAATAAAGACTGAAATGGTTTGGCCATTTAATAAGAATGAATTCAGTGATGCAAGAACAAGAGCGTACAAAATAAAAGTAGTATCACCAGGAAGTAAAGGATGACCAAGAAGAATTTGGATTGGAACAGTCACCGATACCTTGAGACTCCATAACATCCCAGCATATGAGGCAACCAAACGTGCCCCGCTCAGATGCCTATTGTCTTTTAACATGCACAGTGGTGCAAAGTAGAATATGGACAGAAGAAAAAGAAAGAATTAGTCCATTCTACTCCATGAAAAGATATAAAAGCGAACCAAAGGTATATCAGCAAGCTTCACAGTATAAGAAACACAAAGAAAAAATGAACGTTGTGGCGTTGGAGTCTTCATCAGCAGATGCATAAATAAAATAAAAAATACCAAACAAATACACAAAATCACTTATCTTTCTTTTTCCTTCTCTCTTTTGTCCATTATCTGCAGTTAAGCATCACATTTTGAACAGAAGATAGGAAGCTGAGCTAGGGTGTGTTTGGTTGCTTGCTACCACAGATACCGTGAAATGTTAAGCTTTCAGTGACTCCTTTAATCCATATTCTTCTAGGTCTCTCTCTCTCTCTCTCTCTCTCTCTCTCTCTCTCTCTCTCTCTCTCCCCCCCTCTCTCTCCCTCCCTCCCTCTCCCTCCCTCCCTCCCTCCCTCTCTCCCTCCCTCTCTCCCTCCCTCTCTCCCTCTCCCTCTCTCTCTCTTCTGGGAATCAGCTGGCTGAGCGGTTACAAATTGGGGCTGTCATGTGGAAGAATCAGGAGTTTCTGTCTGTTACAAATTAAACATCTAAACCTGCACAGTCCATAGCGACTGTACTAGCAAGCCCTAAATCCTCAGGCTTACGATCCCTACTGTTTACACCACCCTAAAATTGGTAAATATAGACAGTTATGGCAGTGACAGCGATGATTTATATTTTCTTTTACAAGCCTGCATATGTTTTGAATTTTTCATACATTTTTAAACAACATGACTGACCACCATTTATATTTCAGAGCTGAAAAGGATAGTGTGCACATAGCCAGATTGTATGGTTCCTCAATGTTCAAGGTAAGTCATTGATGACTTTTGCCATAGGTTTTCATATTGTAACTTAAAAAAAAAAATAGTTTGAACAAGGTCCCCGTGTGAGTTTTGGGGCCCCATTATGGGATAAGAAAAGAATAGACCCACTGCATTTCTAACAAAGATGATGTAAGTTGACTAATTTAAGGTTTTCTTTGAAGTCGGAGTGCGTCTGCCTGAGATTTAAGGAACCAACAGTGTGCATGCAAACATCTCAAGTTCTAAAACAAGACTAATGTCCAAAAGTAGATGAACAACCAGAATTTCTACCAGATTTTACAGCCAGTGAACATGAAGAAGGAGAAAAAGTCTGAACAAGGCATTCAGGTTCATTTCTCATTTGATTACTATCCTAAATGTTGTGTCAGAGCGATAATGGAGATCAGAATAAAAATACTCGGAAAGGCTAGCCCAGAGAACATATGCCCGATGAAATCGAATGTGTGGACTGAAAATTATTACATTTCTAGTGACGTTAACAATGGTTGGGTGTCACATGATAAAAGCGCAAGATTACAAAAAAGTAGATTATATCTAATGTGATGGTTGTTTTAATAGTTTTATCTGACATACATGATTGTTCTCTTCTCACCGCATACAAATACACATGCGTTCTTAGTTACAAAGTGAATAAGCCATTTGCCTTAAAACTCTGAAGGTTATGTATTCAGACTGTATTATTTGGTCCATGGGCACAATTATATCTTAGATCAAAGTAGTTGTTGCTAGAACTGGGATTTTTATGCTTAGTGTGGCTAACTGCTGTTCATGGATGAGAGAGAGAGAGAGAGAGAGAGAGAGAGAGAGAGAGAGAGAGAGAGAGAGAGAGAGAGAGAGAGAGAGAGAGAGAGAGAGAGAGAGAGAGAGAGAGAGAGAGAGAGAGAGAGAGAGAGAAGTAGTAGTAGTAGTAGTAGTAGTTAAGTACCATTGGTTCTATGTACACCAGCGTAGTGTTTAGGAGGCCCAGATATGAATATATTAGCAAAATATAGCATTTAGAGGGGTTTCCTTGTAAATCCAAACATTTTTTTTAAAGCTAGGTTGGCATAAAATTGTCCTGTAAGCATCATTGATAGAAGTCACATTGTCATGGCATGAGTCACCCAATGTGTGTGTGTGTTTTGTTTATGTATATAAATAAATTTTAAAACTGTTTATTAGTTACCTGGAATAAATATACAGGCAGACCTAAACATACTTAGGACCACCAACTGGAAAAATAATGCCAGTCCATTGTATCTGCAGCAGTGAAGCTTAGTGAACCTTGGAATTCTTAAGAAGAAATGGTGCACTGTGACCAGGTTCAGATTTGCCACATTTACTTCCCAGCACATATTCTCAGTACCTTTTTTAGGCTGGATTGACTTGAGGACTCAGGTTTACCTTCTTGGGGATTGATCCTATGACCACTGTGTCGCCAGTTAAGCATGCTAGCCAATGTACCACCTAAGCTTTCAATGGCAAGAGTAGACTTGAATCAGTTGAACACGGAGTAAATGAAATTATAAAATGTGAACACAATTTTGATGTATAAGTTTGCTGCTATCTTACTGAAGCCATTAATATCCCCAGGATGCCAGAAGTGATGCAGAACAGCACATTTATCAACAGTTAAATCTAAAAATAGATGAGTTTCTTGATCTAGGTGAGTCTGTGTTTTGAATACATTATAAAATAATGAAAACCAGAGTGAGAAATCAAATGATGTTACTGCAGCCCTTTGTAAATAAGAAACAACACTTAAGCCACATATGTGCTGAGCTTCAGCAGATGTTGCATTAGCTGAACATTTTGAGACATCAGGTTTAAAAAATAAACCATATCTACATTTGTTTCATGTTTGGTCAGCTGTCAGGTGGGCGACAAACAAATTTCCATGGTTTTGATGGACCGTAGATATTTTTTTCCCAGTTCAAATGTCAGATCAGTACTTTTATATGGGGCGGAAACAGGGAGAACAACTGAGGCAATTACTAATAAATTACAGACATTCATTAACTGGTGCCTGCGCAGAATAGAGGGAATTAAATGGTATGATAGAATAACTAATGTAGAACTTTGGAAGAGAACTAAGCAAGCCCCAGTGGACCAAGAGGTAAAGAAAAGATGCTGGCGTTTGATAGGACACATTGAGAAAACCAGACAACAGTATAATTAGAATGTCATTACATTGGAACCCACAGGGGCATAGGAATAAAGAAAGGCCAAAAAATACATGGAGAAGGGAGCTGGAGAATGAAGTTAGAAAGATGGGAAGAACATGGGGATAGCTGCATGCGATAGCAAAGGATAGAACGACTTGCTGTGAGTTGGTTGAGGGCCTATGCTCCATTCGGGGCTAGAAATGCAGAAGAAGAAGAAGAAAGATGAAAAGAAGGAGTTGAAGAACACTGATCTAGGAGGAGGCCAAGAAGACTACAATTTAAACGCACAAGTAGTTAAAGACATCATTACTCACATAAGGATGAGATGTTCCAGTTTTTCAGTCCTGGTCAGAAGATGTGGATGACCTGAAGAATATTGCTACAGTTGGGAAATTGAGAATTTCAGAGAAAAGGATGAGTAAGGGAGAGAAACAAACAAACTTTATATTCAAAGGGTTACAAATTGGACATGCAGGTCCGTCTGACATTCGGCCCTTCCAAGCAGCCATCTTTCACACAGTTGTATTTTATCAGTAAAGTTCAAATAATAATATGCATATTATGAATATCAAGAAAAAATAAAAGCATCGGTGGTAAATTGCATGCACACACTCGAGCACACACACTCACAAGCAGACGCGCCTACTCACATTCATACATACATGCATACACACACATACATACATACACACACACACATACATACACCCACATACATACACACATACACACACACATGCACACACACACACCCACACACAGGCACACAGAGACACACCCACAGACACAATCATTTACAGACATACATGCAGACACATACACGCACGAACAGACATATTCGCAGACATATACATCTACAAACAGACACACACACATATACATAAGCACACACAGGCACACATACAGAGACACACACACATGCAAACACACACACATAGATACACAGAGACACACACAAAAACACATACCAGACACACATACCAGACACACAAACATGCAGACACACAAATAAACATACACAGACAGCCCACACAGACACACGCATGCATAAACACACGCAGACACATACACACACGCCGACGCACATGTACAGATACACAAGTGACCCAGACAGTCAAGCTGCAATCAGCATTCAAGACAGATGGAACCAGATCAAAAAAACATACAAATCAACTAGCAACAACATATTAGGAACCAGGAAACAACATCACAAAGAATGGATAAGCAGTCAAACCATGGACTATATTGCCAAGTGAAAAAGAATAAAGAGCCTCATAAATCACACTAAATCAGAACGTCAGAAAGACAAACTAATGTTAGAATATAGCAAACTAAATAAAATGACAAAGAAAAGTGACAGAGCTGACAAAAGAATATTTATGGAAAATCTAGCAGAAACAGCAGAAAATGCTGCTAAAACACATGATCTACAAACCCTACACAAAATTACCCAGCAAATTTGCGGAAGCAGAAACAATTATCATAGCGTACCTATCAGAGATAACCAAGGCAGACTGCTCGCCACAGAACAAAAACAAGACATGCAATGGACTGAACACTTCTCCGACCTCTTGAACAGACCTGATCCTGAAAATCCCCCAGATATTCAACTAGCCTCTCAGGACATAGACATTATTACTGAACCACCAAGCAAACAAGAAATCCTTAAAGCTATCCACACCTTAAAAAACAACAAAGCACCAGGCAAAGACGAACTGCCAGCAGAACTTCTCAAAGTAGATCCCAACACAACTGCTAGCCTTTTAGAACCATTGTTCAAGGATATTTGGGAAAAAGAAGTGTTGCCTGATGACTGGACTGAAGGAACAATAGTCCAAATCCCCCAAAAAGGAGACTTAACAGACTGCAGTAATTGGAGGGGAATTACTCTACTCTCAGTACCAAGCAAAATATTTTGTAAAATCATCATAATGAGGCTTGAAAAAGGAGTAGATAAATGCCTACGAGTAGAACAAGCAGGATTCAGAAAGGGCAGAGGAACAACTGAACACATCTTCGCCATAGTAACATTTTAGAACAATGCAGTGAATGGCAGAGAGTATATATATAAATTTTGTGGACTTTGAGAAAGCTTTTGACAGCGTCCATAGAGACAGTCTATGGAAAATTTTACGACATTATGGAATTCCAGAAAAAATAGTCAACATAATTGCTCTCTTCTATAAAGACTTTTCCTGCAGTATAAAAAATTACATCTTTCCCAGTAAAGACAGGTGTAAGACAGGGATGTGTTATGTCATCTTTCCTCTTCAACCTTGTGATTGATTGGATACTAAAGAACACAGTAGACAGGACATTGAGAGGCATACGATGGACACTATTCACCATGCTTGAGGACCTTGAATTTGCAGATGATATAGCACTCCTATCACATAAACATGAACACATACAAGAAAAAAGTAACAGACTACACAGCACAGCAGAAACGGTGGGACTGAGATTAAATACAAAGAAAACTAAGATCATGACAAGCAGTCCAAACCAACAACCAGGGACCATAAATAACAAAACTCTTGAAAATGTAGAACATTTCACATATCTTGGCAGTGTGGTGTCCCTGCCGGGAGGGACCGAAGAGGACATACAGTCACGTCTGAACAAAGCTAGAGCTGCTTTTGGAAGGATGAGGCAAATCTGGAAATCCAACAATTACTGCAGAGGAACAAAACTCCGACTCTACAAGAGCATCATTTTGCCAGTTCTTCTTTATGGAGCGGAATGCTGGAGAATGACCAAAAAGGATGCACACAAGCTGTCCACCTTCCACCACACGTCTACTTAGAATTATCAACATTTTCTGGCCAGATACAATCTCAAACACTAAACTATGTCAAGTCACAAACCAAGAAACTTTAGATAGTATGGTAACCAAGAGAAGATGGAAATGGCTTGGCCACGTTATGAGAATGAATCCTGATATACCCGCCAAAACAGCTCTCACATGGACACCAGAGGGAAAGAGAAAACAGGGGTGCCCAAAAATAACATGGAGACGAACGATGGAAAGTGACCTGAGTGCGGCATCTTTGACATGAAAAACTGCACTGAAGATTGCGCTGGACAGGAAAGTATGGAAACTCCTCTCTGAAGCCTCATGTGCCACTAGGCATAACAAGAACTGATGATGATGACAGCCACACAGACACACGCATGCAGAAACACACACAGACACATACACACACGCTGACACACATGTACAGACACACAAGCAGACACACACACACAAAGACACAGAGAGATAGGGGGAAAGAGGTAAAGAAAGGGAGAGATTGTGGTAGAGCTAGACCTCTTCTATCCTCTTTACTGTTCATTCTACCTTCCTTGAGCATAAGCCAACTTCTATTAACTTGCAACTATGGAGGGATTTTTTAACATGCACTGTATATATTATGATACACAAATCAACATGTATTGATTGGCGCACATAGAAAGAAGTAGAGAGAGAGGAGGACACACTAGACAACATACAAATCGAAAGCAGTAAATTACCACACCAGGACTTGAACCAGTCACTTCCAGATGACAGCAACACCTCGCTAGTGCTTAACTAAATTTTATAGATCAGTTGGCACTAGATGTGTGATATGGTCAACATCTTGCTGTTTCCTTTACTTCCCAGGATATTACCTGGAACCCCTTTTAGACTAGCTTGACCTGGAAGCGAAGGTCAGTTTGCAAAACAATTTAGACTCACTGCAGATTTGAATCCAAGGCATTTGAGCCAGCAGGCAGAGCTGTATTAGTCCCATGAAATATTACCAGCTAATTTTCAAGATGGTATTTTATATGACCGGTTAATGATGCTATTAATATCCAAGTGTCCCTTGGCAGAAAAAATATTGTCCTGCCCCTGATTTAAACAAAAAAAAAAAAAAAAAAGCATAGCTTTGATTCATTATTGCATAATATACAATTTTTAAAAATATTTATAATTATTTTAATATTTCAAAAAATATGAATGTGCAGCATCCTATGATTGGACATTACCAGAACCTCGAGGCCAGGCCAGTAGTTACCTCATGGATCTAGTTGCCTTCCTTCAGAGTACATTCATGTCTTTCACAAATTTGCCGGTGAGTTGTTTAGATACGCCTCAGCTGAAGACTCATAATTGTAGTTATGTCATCGTGTTGTTGGCTTGAGGGCTATGTGTTGATTTATAATGTATTAAAGGAGTTGATCTCAAAGAAGGTTCTAATGAAGTGAACTGTTTACTCTGCCTCATAATTTGGTGACCTAATATAAATGTGAATGAGCCGAAGTCACATAGTGGAAAACATACCTGTTTCGGTTTTTATTTCACTCTAAGTTGTGGCAGGATGTTTTGCTCCAATATATGGCTCTAGGAAAACAGGTTTAGTAGTAGAGTTTTCTGGGAAGGAAATGTTATAAGGAAGAACAATTGTCATTGTGTCTTACTGTGTAGTAACCTAGATGAAATTTGTATTACAGAAGATAAATATACAATAACTAGGGCAAAGGCAACTTGTCACAAGATGAAGAATATACTATAGAGTTGATAAGTTGAGGGGAAGAAGGAAAGTCTTCAAAGTTGTATGAAACTAATGTTGTTGTATAGATTGGAAGGCCCATCAGTCGATTAGTGGGGGGAAAAAACCAATGTGGAAGTTGCAGTCAAGGTAATGAGCTGATCACATAGTGTTATGTACTAATGGCAGATTTGATGGTTTTTCTTCTAGTCCATGTTCGAAAAACCTGTCACTTCCTGCCCGTGCTGCAGTATCATGTCCATACATTTAAGTGTAAAATGCTTTTAGTTTTATGCTGTTGCAACAGCATCCTGTGGACTTTTTTTGTTTATGTGTGTGTGTATATATATATATATATATATATATATATATATATATATATATATATATATATATATATATATATATATATGTTAAATAGAATGATAAGCGTTAAATCTTCATAACCTCTAATGCTGTGCCATTTAAAAACATAATCCAGTACAGTGAACCCAATCAGTTAAGACCCTCTGCTTATTGTCAAAGGTTTACCATGGACCTGATGCTTTTCTGTTGTCGTTCTGAAAAATCTGTTAATATTTATAAATATTAGAATCACAAAAAGGATACCATTCTAAAGTTGAGGGTATTTTTAAATGATATCATGGATCCCTTAAATTTGTTTAAAGGCTGCCCAAGGCCTGTTGTCAACCAGCTGTGGAGCCCTGATCTAATACATTACTGCCAGAGTAACCAGACTGCTGTAGTGTCACAGACTAAAAACTGTACTAACACAAGTCATTAGTGGTGGTCTTATAATGATGATGACCCCTGTCTGTTGTGTAGGCAGTAGATTTTAATGTCCAGATTTTTGGGTTAAATTAGCATTGATTTGAGGGGGTGGGGTGGGGGTGGGTGGTGGGGGGGGGGGGGGGTTTCCACAATACTGGACTTTCATTGGCCCATGCATTTCTATAGGTTTCACCCCTTAACTGATCAAAATACGGATAACAGAATACTGCCCCTCTTTGGTGCATGTCAAACGTTTATAGCCATCTTATATTTTCATTATGACATTGCCGTGTTCTTCAGCACTGTGATGTCACATGCTTCACACTCTTGACATCCCAAACAATATTGACAGGTTACAAAACATTAGCATGGTTAGTGTAATTTTTTACCACACTTTTAGCATTTTACATTGAAGTCCCCCTTGTAATTTCTTGTGCCAAGTAAAGAGATTATGTTGGAACACAAATATTCATGTTTTAGGCTTTGTTAATTAGTATACAGTGTTTTTCTGTAGTTCGTACACTGGTAGTTTGTTAAATTTAACATGCTGAACATATAAGCAAGCAGTATGTAGCAACATAATCATATTATATACAAATTCACTGTCTTAGTGTCAAATAATCCTTAGTACATTACTCCGCTCTGTTATTTTGAAGGTTATAATCCTGTAGTTATTTGTATGTTGGCTTTTACTCTGCACGTTGTTATTGTACACACTGTTGTGATTTTATTTCACATAGTCCCTAAAATGTTATTAACCCTAGATGTCTATCTCTTTAACTCATTCTAACCTAAAATAGCGATAGTTTTTTTAAATAAAAGCTTGCCCCTACAGTGTTTAACCCTTCCACGTGAACAGAAGTTTACAGTAACTGCTAGGATATAATGAGATAATGTAATAGCTAAAAGGGATAGCAACAGTTACGGAAAGTTTATCATGTGTGAGGTAACACATTAACAAATTTGAATTGTAGATTGACACTTTGACCCAGAGTAACCATTATCTGCAAATTCTAGTAAATACAGCTTAACCGTTATTGCTGCTTTGGCCAGCTCCTGACTAGCTTAGTTAACAGCATTGGCTCTGTTTGCACCTGTGCAATGTTTAATTAAGAACCTCATATATTGTGAAGCTCGCAGATCTACTTTTCGTTGGGGTTTATATCTTTTCGGTAATTGTAACGTTGCTCTCCCCATTTACATAGTGTTACACACTAGCTCACTTCTGATTGGTTGAGCTTCAGCCTAGCTCACTTCTGATTGGTCAACTTTGAGCCACGAGAACTTGTCACAAGGTTACAAGGTGTTTGGCAATGCCGTTGATATCACTTGTGTTATATTTCAGCATGCCAGTGCTTTTAACACTCCAAAAACATAGACAAACTGGGTCTAAAACAAAACCCCTTTAGAGAGTGATAAAACCTATGTCACAGGCATTCTCTTTCTTAAATATCTTTCCCTAATTAAGGACACATATATTTGCTCAATATATGTGAAGGGTTGGGGTGAGGGAAGGGGGATATGAGGAAAAATGACTTTTTTAAAATAGCAGTGATGACCTCATAATTCTTCTCTAATCTTTCGTAGTCACATAGCAGGGTCACATTATGAGTTACCTTATACATTATTTTTAGACCATCGGACTGTGAGTTTTATTCTCCACTCCGTTTATATTTTATATTTACTCCCCTTTGTAATTTCTTTTAAAAAAATGTAATATTTATAAATAAATGTTTAAAACGTTTTTTTGTGACTGTATAAACTTATTATTTACGGATTTTTTCAAAAATTTTCAAATGGTCTCAGCGGTCAAAGGGTTAAACCTAAACTGATTAATGCAACTGTCATTCAGAATTCTCTTATGCTTGTATCCAGTAGAAGTGTTCACCATTAACCACACTCAAACTATCAATTGTTAATTTGTAACAAGTTGAAGTGTTATAACATTTTGGGGACGCTGTGAATTATTGGATGTATCAATATGTAATTGTATATATGTACACTTCCTATAAAGTCAGAGTAGACATAGTTTAGCTGAACATTTCTGCCACATGTTGAAATTGTTTTGGTTCAAATAATGCCTTGTTTTGATGGCAAGCTAATTTTTGTGTTGAGTGTTAGAGAAGACCAGAGTCCTGTCATTCAGTTTAAGAATATAAAACATTGGCAAAATTAGGTTCTATCAGAATGCCAAAGCAAGTTTACATTTTAAGAAAAGAGACTACATTGGAAATTAGTTTGAAGATGCTTTCCTGTCTCAGTGTTGAAATATTTTTTTATCGCAACAGTGATATTTAAGTTAAGAATACATGAGATGCTTAACTCTGTTTGTTTCTCTAATACTGAATATCTAGTAGTATGCAGTAAAATATTCTTCTTCTTTTCTTCTTCTGTCTTCTATCTCACAATGGAGCATAGACCCAAAACGAACTCATACTAAGTCGTTCTGTCCTTTGCTATTGCATGCAGCTCACCCCGTATCCTCCCAATCTTTTTAACATCACTCTCTTGCTCCCTTCACCATGTGTGGTGTGCCTTGATTTCTCTGCCTCTGTGGGTTCCAGTGCAAAGACATTCTAGTTATATTGTCTCAGGTTTTCCTGAACATGTGTTCTATCCAGCGCTTGTGTCTTTTTCACCTCTCGGTCCAGAAACTCAATATTAGTGATTCTAGCATACCATTTATTTCCCTCTATTCTGCACAGACACTAATTAATTAATGTTTGTACTTTTATTAGTAGTCTCCATGTTTCTGCTCCATACAGCAGTACTGATTTTACATTAGAATTAAAAGTTTTATTAAGTTTAGCATTAGTTTTAATTTCTTTTGGCCTCCATAAGTTATATAAGCTATACTAAAATATTATTACTGTAAGATAACATTTAGACAGAAGTATGTCAGGAATGTATCATGTCTTTGTTAATCAGTAGATGTATGGTGAAATGTATGGTACTGGAAGAGTTAGCATATCATGGGTTACATGAGAAAGCATCAGTCTTTATGGAAAAAGGAAAATAGGGAGATTTGAATCAGCATCATTGCACACTGTTATAAACCATCAGTGCACCACCACAATATGGACAGCTGATAAGAAACTGTTCGCCGTTGGCACAAAACTCTGTATCTACAGCGACGTCCCTCCATTTACCCCAGAGTGGTCAACTCTGGTACCCATTTCCTAGAGGCTGGGTGAAACTTGGGAACCGCCCAGTTTTGAACACCGGAAGTAGGCTGCAGTGAGTCACAGCTGGATTTAAAAGCAAGTCTCCTATTGACTGCACTAACGCGGCCCCCATGATTAGTCTTTGTTCACTTGTTATTGTATTTTTGCTCTAATTTTGCCTTGTGGCGATGCCTTTTAAGTATTTATCTCTTTGGAAGACCTTGCTCCTTTCATATGCAGGTTTTTTAATGACATTAACCCACCCATGTGAATTTGCAGGTCACTTCTTAACCATCTGAGACCCTAATATAGCTTTGTAATATGGTTGAACAGGGGCTCTGATATTTGCCTCCATTGGATTTTCACCCAGATAGTGGCTGTTTGAGTCACTGATGTTAATCTTTTAGAATAATCCAAGAGTGGGAATATATATATATTTTAAAGTGTTTTTCATTTGTATGTTCATCTCTGAGCAGAGTGTTTACAAAAAGAAAGTAAGTTCAGTGTGCCCTCTGCCCTGTTTTACAATCCTTATTAAAGCTACAGCCAACCTGATTTATTGTGCCACAGCTGTATATAAAACAAATTACCCAAAAAAAAAAAAAAAAGAAATTTTGTAAGTGAAAACAATATTTTTGTTTATGTAGTATGTAATTAGAATACACTTCAGGAAGGTATACAAGTTTCAGTGACTGTAATCTTCAATATGAGGGACATTTCAGTGTTAATAGAATGGGAATACCCAGTGTGCAGCAATGTCGATTGTGGCAGTTAAACATAAGATGAAGAGTATAAGCTTTCAGTCAAAGAAATCAGAGCAAAGAGTTGTACATTTGTATTATGTTTTAGACATCACTGTATTTGTCCTCTCTTAACAACATGATGCAGTTTTTGTGTGTGTGGCTACTGCTGCTAAGGTGTCATCTTTTGATAACTTAGCGCCTTGTCTTTGAGATAACTGATCCAGGGAAGAATCAAATCACTAGCCCTTATTTGTCTAAATTAGATTACAATTTTTGTAACAGTTTTTTAAGGGTCATTATCAGGTAGAATAATGATGCTTTCTTCACAGACCACAGCTGTACACAACATTTCGTAATTGTAACTGATGCACAGAACATGTTGAGAAAGGTGGTTACAGGAATGCTCCATGCGGAGTGGCAGGCATTGCTTCAAAGGTCCCGGGTAGTTAGTGTCCTTTGGATATTTTCTCCAGTCCATGCCGGTGTGTAGGGAAACAATCAGGCAGATAGACTGACCGGTTCTGCGCCACTTGATGGGGAATTAATGTATGACAAGCTAGATGTTGTGAGGGCAATATGGGAACAAGTGAACAGTGAGTAGGCACAAATAAATCATTATGGTCTGAAGAGTAAGGCACTGCAAGGAATTAGCAGGGAACTGCCCGATACTCAGCACTTAAGAGAAAGCCGAGATAGGAATACAGACGGTTACAGGTGCCATTGGAATGGGAACTCTTCGTTTGCTGCTGAAGATAAGAACAGAGCGCTTATGGGATTGTCCCGAATGCTGTGATGTCCTAATTCACCATTCACCGACCACTGGGAAACAAAACTGGAATAGTTCTGCTTCCTGAATTGTTTGTCATTAATTCTCTGTGTCCATCACTGTTTTGTTTGACTTCTGCCTTATTTTCCCCCAAAACCATCCTTTCCATTATTGTTCTTTGTAAACTAATGTCATGTTGGAGGTGGTCAAAATATTTTAGTTTCAGAGACATGACACTGTTTATCACCCAGTTTTCTTTGGTGTTCATTCATACCTGGTAGAATTGTAGAATGAGTAGATAAATATTTCTAGATCCACAGATGTTTTCTTCTTATATTCAATCTCTCCAACCATTTCCCCAATGCTGTTTGTCACCTGGAGCTTCCTCTAATCTCTCTCCAAATTATTAATCTCTTATCTTTAACTCTCTTCTGCGTGTATTTCCCTCTAATTTGTTTGCCCAATAGGTTTAAAGAAAAAAAGGACTTTCTAGTTATAGAAATTCATGATTAGAGATTTACATACAGCCTAACTAGACATAGTGATTTGTGTAGTTCAGTGAAAAGGTCCTCTTATGAGTCGGGGCAAGAAAAGAGTGACTCACGACCTTCCTAACAAACGGTGTAAGAGTCGACATTAAAGATTTCTTCCAAGTCGGAGTGCATCTGCCTGAGAAGCAAGGAACCAATAGTCTGCACACAAATCACTCAAATCTGTAAAATGAGTGTGCATGTGAAACTCAAGTTCTGGAATAAAACTGAAGTCCAGAACTGGACAGACAACCAGAACTTTAAACTGGAGTTTACAACCAGTGAATGCGAAGAAGAAGACTGTACATCTCTCTATTAGAAATTTGTGATTGGACATGTGTCTTGAATGTCTGATGGAGAGATGTACAATGTTACTTGACATAGTGATTCGTGTAATTCAGTGAAAAGGATTAATTTATTTGCTTCATTATATGTTGATGTAGCTAATGAGATACAGCAAAATATGGTAGACAGTAGATTGGGAAGTGTATTTTTTTATGTCTGCATTATGTATATTTACAACAGGTAAACACTGTTTTGAATAAACTGTTTGATCAGTAATTATATTTTAACTGTTTAAGTGTTTGCACAAATTCAGTTTTTTCCCCCTGTTAAGCATTTGATTTTCCCTCTTTTGCTTTTGCAGGCCACCACTTTTATGTTAACCAGTTAGAAATGTTACAATACCATTCTCTCTAAGCGGCCATATCTACATCGGTTTCTTTATATGTGTATCGATTACTGCATCAACATACTTTCTATTAAACATGATTTGTTTCACTAAGTTTAATGTGTGCTGTGTCACCATTTGTTCCCTGTTTTTTTTTTTTTAAGTTTCCCCTCACTTGCTGTTGAACTACCACCTGTTATTTTGTTGGCAGTTAGATTCGGATTATAATGCCTTTGTCTCTAATCTAAGACTATAAATTAGTTATATGCCAGCTTTGAACAATGATCAATGGTGTTGGCAGTGTTTATTGATTGTTATTTTTCACAAATACAGATCTTCCACAAAAACTGGGCTAAATATGTTGTAAGATCTTGGCATGCCTACAGGAATGATGCATTATTTTTGTAACCTTGTAGTTTTGTCTGTTGTGTAAATTATGATTTTTCTTCAACTGATTGTTTTCAGTTATTTAGACAAACAGCTGTTTTTAGAATTTAAAAACAGTAACTTGTTTCATAACTATTATATATGTTCATTGATTTATTCCCACAAGCTGCAATCTGCACAGTGCATATATTTTGTTTATGAAGTCCATAAGCCCAGTTTCTTTGTTACAGTTTTTAAAAATGTATTGTCCCTTTATAATTGAAGACACCGTTTGCTTTAAAGTCACTTCAGAATAAAGTCTAGTCTAACTTTTTATTACCCTTAATTTTTATATCTCCGCAGAAATATCTCTTGTAATCGTTAGTATATTTTTTTTTTATATTAACAGTGACATGTGCTATTTCAGTTGTGGAAAAATTAATTAAAGTTTTTATAGAGACCTAATTTTCGAACATTTTATTAAACAACACCGCTTTTGTAAGAATAATACACAAGTATGATAATTGGTTATGCAGGTCATATGACATTGTGTCAGAAATCTGTACTTAAGGCTGTTGAAGCCACTTTAAACTTTAAAAAAGCATTCATTTATTCATCTTTTACATTAATTTATTTACATCTTCATGCATTAAAGAATGCATTAACTAAATAATAAGTGAAAGTAATGAGGATGTCAGCAATGACTCTCACATTTAAGGTACAGATATTGTAGCACAGCTGTAAACCATAACATGTTCCAATTGGCCTTTAAAGGTAAAGCAGGAGAAGAAGAAGAATTGCCATGATCTTTCTCTTTTTTTAAACCTAATAATTAGTTTTCCATCTTAAAAACTCTGACGTTTAAGCACACAGTAATTGGTTTTATGTATGCTTGGAGCCTGCATGAGAAACAAAAGTTTCTTTTTCCTGTTGGTTGCAGTGTGTTTGTTGTGGCCTGACTGAAAATTTGAATGTTAGTTGCAGCCTGTTGTATTGTCATTGTAGAGTGGTTGAACACATGCATTTCTTATGCATCATGTCGTCCCGAAGTTATAGAACACTGAATATGATAACCTGATTCCCTTCATTTGGCTTTCCACATTGTTTTTAAAAAATGATTATTTATACGCATGAAAAGGTCTATGTGATATTTAAAATATGACACGTTTTAAAGAAGTTAAATGTAGAATAACTGCGGCAAAGGCAACATGTCATAAGATGAGGAATATTCTGTGCAGGCTACATTGGTAAGTTGAAGGGAGAAGGAAAAGTCTTGAGAACTGTATAAAACTAATTCTGTTGTATAGAATGGAGGCAGTCGGTCGATTAGTTTGAAAAAACAAAACGGATGTGGAAGCTGCAGGTGCGATGATGCCCTTATCACATAGTGGTGTGCAATAATGGAAGATCTGGTGCATCTTCTTTTTATAGACCATGCTGTGTGGCATTGGTAGTGATGTCTATCCACATTCTTCTGCCCCATGTACTTTCAGTCAATTCTGATACTGATGATCTTCCATGCCATGATGTCAGACTGTCCAGCATCTTCTCTCTCGGCCTCCCTCTGCCTCTTTTCCCCTCCAGCTTTCCCATGTCATCATTATGTACTCCAGTTTTCTCTTTCTCATGACATGAACAAGGAATAGATCTGATGCACATAATGGTTGGCAAGATTGAAGAAGATAAAAGTGTATTATTTAAAAGTTGGAATGAGTCTCAAAGCTACATTTCTTTTATAAGAAGCTAATTTAGATTATAACTGCGCCAGTAACATTGAACCTTGTTCATGCATCCCATATACCCACAATAACCTTATGATTGTAGCAGTGTGTGTATGTGTACATTAAAAAATATACCTCTCTTGCCCCTTTATTACCTTCCTACCGACTATCTCCCCCGTATATTGATTGCTTTTAAACTCTGTTAATACATTGCGGGTAAACTAAAGCCTGGATGTGGCATAAGATTGCCTTGAACGGACCCAAATGTCTCAGTGAGAGTGATCTGTGTTGGGACATTTGATTATGTACAATTATTAAAGGACATGGTGATAAATGAGCCTGGTCTGCGGCATGCTGAAAAGTTACTGATTAATTATAGGGTAAGCACAAAATAGCTGTGTAAAAGTAATAATCTTAATAGTCTGACCTGTTGGAACATCGGGTAAGGTACTAGACCCAAAAATTTTGGATCAATTGGCACTCTGGATGATATTGTCAGATGAACCAATTTTTGTCTTCCCAGGGTATTTTCAAATGTTAACTCTAACTCTTTCAGTTCAGTCCCAAGCAGTTGTTTTATTAAGCTTTAAAAGCAATAAATACTAAATTTAACACACACTGTGGGACAGGAGTAGTTAATCTTCTTCTTCTTCGTGTTCACCAACTGTAAACTCCAGTGGAAAGTTCTGATTGTTCATCCACCTCTGGACTTTATTCTTGTTCCAGTACCTAAGTTTTGCGTGTACATTTGTTTTACAGATCCGGCTTTTTTTATGCAGATTGTTGGTTCCTTGCTTCTCAGGCAGATGTACTCTGACTTCGAAGAAAGCTCCCAGTTTGTCATCTCTAATGACATGCTTGTTGGGGGAGGTGGTGGGTCTCCTCCTTCTGCTCCTTGAGTTACCTCATCAAAGGATTGGGGCAAAATTTAAGGATCTTCTGTGTGCTATTTATATTGAGTTATATAAGTTTATCTTGATTGCCTTAAAGCTGTTCTTGAGGCAGTATTTCCGTTTTTTTTCACATGGTCATCTGCTTGCTCTGTGTTCATAATATTTTTTAAGCATGACTTTCTATCACAGTTGATATCAGGGATTTCTCCAAGCTGTTGCTTTTTAATGAATTGTATGGCTGATTTCAGTCGTAATCTTCTTCTGATTTCTTTATCTTTGATTTTATTGCTTCTTGTTACTCCGGCAACTCTTCTAAGGCATATCATTTGATGTTAGCCTCATTAATTATAGTAAGTGCCCACTTGACACTTATAGCAGAGACTTGACCAAAAATAGTTCTTATGTAATTTGCTTTGGTAGACAGAAGTATCCTTCCATGTGTCAGAGGGGGTGTTAGTTGTCAGGAAGAGGGGTTGAAGTAATGCATACTGCATCATATCCCTCTAGTGATATTTAGTCAAGAAAATATAACTCAAGGATTTGCATCTCTAATAATATGTCATGATGGGGTTTTTGAAGCTTGTGCTAGAATAGGAATAAATAAATAGAGAATTAACATCCCTGTTTTCAGGGGATTCCCGCAGGTGTTTGCTTCCTTTCTTCAGTTGCAATTGAAGAGCTCTGATTCTGTTGGTACCAGTGATGACCTGTCTTTCTCCCATTGTGGTGTGTTGTCAACAAAACCACTTTTACTCCAGTGAACCAGTGCTTGGGAATGGTTGCTTTGTTCTGCTACTCTGTCCATATTATAAAGTAGTTCACTGCCCAGAAGAGCAGCAGCAGATAAATTTTATCAAACTGCTCAATGCCTTGCACATCTGCATGTCTGAGCAGAAAATTTGAGACCTGACTCATGAAACAATGCATTCTGCTTTATGCATAGCACACCAGCTTCTTCTTTTTTTCTGAAGCATGATTTCTTAGTCCTTTGCAACTAATGTCATGCTGAAGAAAGGAAAAAAAACAGAGAGAGGAGCTAAGTTTACATGCAATGTTCAACAAGATTTTTTTTTAAAGAAAATGTGACTTATTTGTAGCAAACTTGGTCTGTGCTTGTTTAGGAGAAAGTGGCAAAAACTGCTTGCATGTCAGCATGCCAACACATTGCATCAAGACTGATGGCCTTGTTACTTGACAGCGAAATCAAACAGATGTCCATGGGTGCGCTGCAGCAGTTCAACTTGGATGTTATGCAGTGTGAACGTAAGTTTCTCATGAGTATTTTTTTTTTTTTAAACATGTACATTTATCAGTTCCTGCTGTTCAGTCTTCTTCTTTGTGTTCACTGGCTCCGTGTGATAGTTCTGGATGTTGGTCCACTTCTGATCTTTGGTCTTGTTCTAGAATTTTAGTTTCACAGTGGGTCTAACTTTTTTTCAAAGCCTTAGGGAGCACATGAACAGTGTTGATGAACACAGAGATCATCTCAGTCTGAAGAGAAAGATGAAATTGGGAGGGGCCGACCTATCTGTCAACGCTCAACACTCGGAGGAAAAGCATTCACTTCAAATGGCACCATTGCTATTGGAACTCTACACTGGCTGGGACTGAGCACTTAATCGGAGTAGCCTGAGTGCAGTGGTTCAGTACTTATCTTAGCTCAAGTTGGGGACTGGTATTGACATACTGTGATGCCAAAATGTCCAGCTTCTTCTCTCTTGGTCTCCCTATGCTTCTCTTCCCCTCCAACTTTCCCAGGGTTACCTTTTGTAGTGTCAGGTTAAGAAGGGACATCTACAGTGAGCTTTAATGTGTGCTGCATATGTGACGATATTCATTGCCCCTGATAAAGGTAAAAAGGTAAAGTCGGGAGATGTGAACCAGCGTCATTGCACACGGTTATAAACCATAAGTGCTCTGCCACCAGTACGGACAGCTGATAAGAAACTGTCTTCACGCAACTCTGTAGCTACAGCGACATTCCTCCACTTACCCCAGAATTTTAACTCTGGTACCCATTACCTAGAGGCTGGGTGAACTCTGGGAACGGCCCAGTTTCAAACACCGGCTGTGGGCTGCAGCAAGTCTCAGCTGGATTTGAAAGTGAGTCTCCTATCGACAGCGCTAATGCGGCCCCAGATATTCACTTTATCATTCTGTTGCTTGCTTCTTTGTAATTATCATTACTTCTGCCTTGTCCCTGTTCAAATTAAGACCTTTGTTTTAACTTTTTTTTCCTTTATGTCCACCAATTCTTGTAGCATTATCAGCGATCAAAACTATCATCGGCATATACCCAGCTGATTTTCTTGGCATACCTTGTTTGGATATCATTACTGTTTCACTTTACAAATTGAATAAACTAGTGATAGTACACATCCCTATCTAACAACTTTTTAACTCTGAGTCCCAGGGAACATATCATACGTTCTTAGGTTCCTACGTAGAAGCCCAATGAACGCATAATACGTCGATTTTACTCTCTCTTTACTACCCATTGGGCCTGTGATGCTAAACCCCCTGGGACTCAAAGAGTTAATGGGTTGAAAAATTCCTACTTGGTAGTCAATTCTTGTGGCTGTTTGTTGCAAGCATATATGTTTTTTTTTTAAAAATGTATTATTCTCAGATTTTAACTTACTGTAGGTCGGGCTTTCAAAGTAAATTATTAACACAGGAAAGATGGATGTTGTGAAATTAAAATTTTAAAAATGTGTGTTAGGGAATTAATAGTTGGAAGGTGAGGGTTTATGGAAATTATGTGTGAAAGATAAGTATTTTTGAGAATTATTTTATGGAAGATGGATGTTTAAGAATTAATATATTGAAAAGGGTTGCTTTAAGAAATGTGTTAAAGTGAGAAATTGGAATCTAGAGGAATTAATTTGTGATTGATGGGTGGTTGAGGAATTCATTTGTGAAAGAGAAGTGTTCGAAAGATTAGACTTTTACTAAGATCTTGACATTATTTATTGATTACATAATGGTCACTTTCCACACCTTATTGATAGTTCATTCTTGTTTGCAGAATTTGCTGCCTCTGAACCTGTGCCTGACTCGGGTGATGGAACCCTTCAGATGGCCTTCACAGATCTGCGACAGGTGAGTCAGCCTTCACACAGAGGATGTATCATTGTCAGTGTTGAAACTGCTTTGTCAGTGTGTTTAATTTTTATTTCAGAAACATATTGTATGTATGCTTTTCCCCATGTTTATGTCACTTGTGTAGAACATTTTGAAGTGTGGATTCAATTGATTAGCAGCGGCTGGCCAATTGGTTAGAATGCAGAGCTCTCCATTGAGAGTCCCTGCTTGAAATGCTCTGTGAGGTATGTAAATTTTTTCTGTTGAGGGGGGAGGGGAACAAGAATTGAATTCCTAGCCTGCAAAATTCATAGTGACTGCCCTAGCAATGCAATTCTGAATCCACAATCTCAGGGTCTGCATGTCCAACAGCAACAACAAAACACAGACTTACACACACAAAACAACTGCCTGTGCTGCCTGTGTTTACCACAGTGTGGGTAGAGAAGCTTTTGAGCCCATGGATTTAGGGCAGCATGTAGAATCCAGCCCCGATGGACTGCGCTGGTTAGTCACTTCCTACGACATGCTCGTAAGGGGGCAATAAGCCTATAACCCCCACCCCCTCCCCTCAAATGGGGCCTCAAAGCCCGGCACGAGGTAGATATTAAATCTGTGCCTACAATTTCCTCGGTTTTAGCTTTGCTATTATAACTTCCAATTCAATCATTTCTACTTTTATTCTTTTAATTCCTTCTGCTTTGTGTTTTCCCCCTATCCTCCAGTATTCTAGTTTAGAGACCATAATATCTTGAACTGAAAATGGGACTCCCTACTAATATTTTCAGCTGTAAATAGGAAATCCCAAGCAAGTCTTCGTTTAACCCCTGCTCCCCCTTTTTTTTTTGAGGTCACCTAGGTGAAAGGGTTAATTTCTCGTTCAATGATGACATTAAAAAACCAGTCCACTGTCTCTAAGAAATGAACGAAACAATATTTCTTTAGTTGCACTGGAAAAAAACATGCTGCAAAGGACATTTTCATCAACTCATTTCAGGAATTAAAAGTATCTAAAAACTATGCAGTCTAATTAGGTCTACAGACTGTTCTGTTCTCGAGCTTATTCTTCGATTTTGTAAAACGGGACAATTGCCGTTTTTGTGGAGTACCGACAGGACGGGCAGGAAACACCTAAAAAAAAAAAATCCTGGCTGTCCTAGTGAAAACAGGACATAAGGCCATCCTAGTACCATTTCTCACTGTTTCCTCAGCATTTACTTGTTTTAGTTCCATAGTCATATATCTCTGTCATTAAAGGTTAGAAAAATAATTCTTGCTTGCTACATACATCCAGTTTTAACATTGGGCTGTGAGTACTGGACAATCCATAAGCGGGCTAAACAATTTCTTGAGGCCCCAGAGATGTGGTTTTACAGAAGAATGCTTAAAATATCTTGGACAGGCAAAAAGAGCAACCAAGAGGTTTTGAAAGAGGCGGGAGCCTGAAGACAACTTATCACAGACATCAGAAGGAGACAGTCATCATTTTTCGGCTATGTTATGAGAAGAGGAAATCTGGAATGTTTTGTGACCACTAGAAAGATCTGTAGAAGGAGGGGTAGAGGAAGACAGTGAGAGAAGATTCTTGACAGTCTTGTTGCATGGCATGGAGGTATGTCAGCATACAAACTGATACATGCTGCAGGAGATCACGGATTGTGGAGAGGCATAATCGCCCTCGCCAGTCGACAACGCACCTGATGATGATAATTTCCATTGTTTGCTTTTAGCTTCTTCAACCCCTGTATGAGTTATGGGAGTTCGTTTTTTAAAATGAAAAAATAGAAAAGTCTCACTGTCCCCTGAGAGGCCAGTTGTAAAAGACAAGTATTTGGGGGTTGGCTGAAATAGGAAATGTTGAGCTGAAAAGTGAACATAAAAGCCTAGCTTAAACCACGACACAGTGTACCACATGCCCTTTTAAGGGCAAACAAAGATGAAGACGAATCTGTTCCAGAATGCAAAGACTCAGTTTTTTTTTATCAAGCTACTTAATCTAGCTTGTAATTAGCTTCTGTGAAATATTGCTTTTACATGAAAGATTGTTGTAAATTTCCAACCTGAGTCAGTTCTCATCTTGCTAGTGGGTCATTTTCCATTTGCGTCTGCTCCTCCTGTAGATAGTTTTTACGTAGTTTCTTTGTTCTAGACAGTTAAGATAACAGTTGAAATGACAGCACTAAGTAGTGACTAGTCCTTTATTTAGGGCTGGCTGAATGAGAACCCGGAAGTAATGACAGCACAAAGCAGTGACTAGTCCTTTATTTAGGGCTGGCTGAATGAGAACCTGGAAGTAATTTTATGTATAGGATTGTTATTTTTTAGTGTATTTTAAGACACAGATTAAGGTTCTTCTATGCTGTGTTACATTAGTAGTCATGTTTATCCACAAGCTCCTGTCTCGTGTACTGTCAGTCACTTCTGGCACGGATGATCTTCATGTCAAACTGTCCAACAACTTCTCTCTTTGTCTCCTTCTATGCCCCCCCCCCCTTTTTCCCATAATAGGACCAAAGAATGTACATTGTCTCCTTCCAGCGTGGGTTGTCAGTTCTCTTGCAGTATTGTTGTTGTTGTTATCGATCCAGCAGCGCATGAGCGTTCGCCCTTTGGCCCTTACAGTAAAATTAGTAAAAAAAAAAATTTTTTTTAAGTGAAGGAACCCCCTTTTTTAATGCCAGTGGCACATTGGGCATATAGTGTTAGACATATTTTGATAGACAAATGAGCACTCAGTGGGTGATGTTGCTCAGATCGTGCTGGCCATCCTTTTTGTTTTCGCCCAGAGACATTAAGCTGGGTTGTTCTGGGAGCCAAGGTCAGTTTTGGAATGAAAGATGTGACTCAAACCCAAGACCGTGAGGTCGACAGGCAACCACAGTAAGATTTAAGTTATATATGTTTGCTGTTTAAAATGTTTCCCTGTTCTTTGTTGACAGTTGCTAGACCTGTTCATCAACTGGGACTGGTCGGTGTATCTGGCCGATTTTGGTAAACAGCAAGCTCGGTATTTGAGGGTACATAGACACACAGCCATCAACCTGTTGGAAAAGTAAGTTTCTATTTTAAAGCATTGTTTATGCTATCACTAATAATTAATTATGTGGAATTCTTGAGTTTTTAGTGGATTTTTTTTTGTGACAGGGAAAATTAACATAAGTTTTAACATTGTTCATGCTCTAGTAAATAAACTGGGTAGAAAATGATTTGTAAGTTTTTGTTTTTTTTCACTTTGGCAAATTAAAAGCAGATATTTTAGTCAAATGAGACTTTCACAGTTGTATATAATTTTTTTTTCAAATTGTGCTCCTTGGTGTCTCATCCATATCTCCACACCACTTGTAAGCAGGGTTATTAATCTTTACTAAATTATTTGTATATAAAGGGCAGGAGCAGAATTTGTCATGTTCATGTGTCTGAAATCTTAACAGTCAAAAGCAGTTGACTTAATTCAGTAGTGAAGAAAGGCCCATAAATAAGGCTGATATTGTTTTTTTGGGGGGTGGGGGGGGGGTGTGGGGGTGGGATGATTATATAAAGTTTTAACCATTATCTTCATGAGTTAAGAGCTGACAACATAGCACTCAAAACATTTCCTGTGGAATTAATCAGCTTCAGATAAACATGTGTAAATGTTTATATTTTGGCAGCCAAGGTATGGTGAGATTAGATGCCAGAATTATAGAAAATGTGCATTCACAGTCAGGAGTCTGTCATGGTTGTGGTCCATCCCCCTTCTATTGATCACATACATAGGCCAGATCAGTACAGCATCCCAGATTAATGGATTAAGAAAATAAGTGTGATGAGATCCTCTTTGTGGAGGAAGAGCTAGAGAGACACCTAGCTTATCTAATTAGCAGCAAAAGCACAAAACATGAGAATTAATATTGAAAAACAAAAGTTATTACCTCCAGGAACAAAACAATCATTGAAGATATGCATAGAACATCATCGACTTAAAGCAAGCAAGAGCCTTTAGGTATCTAAGGAGCATAATTCATTGAGAAAATTGGATGAGAAATAGAATGTGGGTGTTATAAAAGAGATCAAATCATTGGACAGATGTCACCAGTATTGCAGATCAGACATGTAAAGTTGATATCAAAAGAGCACTGACAGTGTTTGTTTTTTCCCAACATTGTGTTACCAATGCAAATGTGGACATTAACAACAAAAAAGGGAAAAGCCAAATCGAAGCAATAGAAATGAAATGTCTATGACAAATCCTCACTGTAACAAAAAGAGATGACAATATCAGGAAACAGGTTGGGACAGAGTCAGTGCTAAACTTCACCAAGAAATAACAGATCAGATAGTTTAGACATGTGTCAAGGCTATCACAGGATAGTGCACCGCAGAGAGATCCCTATAATGCACAGACACTGGAAGAAGAGCTAGAAGTCATCCACACAAGTGATGGATAGATAGATTATCTGAGGCTATGGATACCAGCATCAGCTGCCTTTTCAAAACGTGGTGCTGAAAGGCAGAGCAGAGACTAGAGAAAAGAAAGAAAGAAGAGGCATCTTGATTTCTGTCATTGGACAGGCATACATTGTGTATCAAGCCAATTCATTGAGTAACATTTTGCACAAGTGACAAATTGCATATCATGTTAGTAGACAAGTGATACACTGCCTCATGTTAGTAGACAAGGAACATTACATATCCGCTCAGCAGACAAGTGCCATATTGCATATCGTGTGAATAAGCAAGTGACACATTAAATATTGTGTCATAGGTGAGTGACACATTGTGCACTGTCAATAGACAAATGTCACATTGCAAGTCATCTCACAAGATAAATGATAAAGTGCATGTCATGTCACCAGACAAGTGACACATTGACCCATGTAGTGACTCTAAACAAGTGAAACATTAAGAACCATGTCAGTATACAAATGGCATACTGAATATCAGTCATAGAAAAGTTACTTGTTGCATGTCATGTCAGTAGACAAGTGCCACATCACATTTCATGTCAGTAGACAAGTGCCACATCACATATCATGTCAGTAGACAAGTGCCACATCACATTTCATGTCAGTAGACAAGTGCCACATCACATATCATGTCAGTAGACAAGTGCCACATCATATATCATGTCAGTAGACAAGTGCCACATCACATACCATGTCAGTAGACAAGTGCCACATCACATATCATGTCAGTAGACAAGTGCCACATCACATATCATGTCAGTAGACAAGTGACTTGTTGCATGTCATGTCAGTAGACAAGTGTCACATCACATATCATGTCAGTAGTAGACAAGTGTCACATCACATATCATGTCAGTAGACAAGTGTCACATCACATATCATGTCAGTAGACAAGTGACTTGTTGCATGTCATGTCAGTAGACAAGTGTCACATCACATGTCATGTCAGTAGACAAGAGCCACATCACATATCATGTCAGTAGACAAGTGCCACATCACATATCATGTAAGCAGACAAGTGCCACATCACATATCATGTCAGTATACAGGTGCCACATCACATATCATGTCAGTATACAGTTTGCCACATCACATATCATGTCAGTAGACAATTGTCACATCACATATCATGTCAACAGACAAGTGCCACATCATATATCATGTCAGTAGACAAGTGCCACATCACATATCATGTCAGTAGACAATTGTCACATCACATATCGTGTCAACAGACAAATGCCACATCATATAGCACGTCAGTAAACAAGTGCCACATCACATATCATGTCAGTAGACAAGTGCCACATCACATATCATGTCAGTAGACAATTGTCACATCACATATGTCAACAGACAAGTGCCACATCACATATCATGTCAACAGACAAGTATCACATCACATATCATGTCAGTAGACAAGTGCCACATCACATATCATGTCAGTAGACAAGTGCCACATCACATATCATGTCAGTAGACAATTGTCACATCACATATCATGTCAGTAGACAAGTGCCACATCACATATCATGTCAGTAGACAATTGTCACATCACATATCATGTCAGTAGACAATTGTCACATCACATGTCATGTCAGTAGACAATTGTCACATCACATATCATGTCAACAGACAAGTGACACTTTAGGGGCCATGTCAAGTGAAACATTGTACATATGACTAAATAAATGATACACTTTGTATTATGTCAGTAGAAAAAATCATACATTGTCTGTTATGTTATTGCTGCAGTGAAACATGAGATTTTAGGTCTTTTGTGAACATTTTTGTTGCTAGTTCTTCCTTGTTTTGAGAAAGTTCACATAAATCAGAACTTTCTTGGAATTTCTACACACGCTCACCCCCCGCTTCCCCTCCCCACCACCACACACCCCTTTCCCCTCCAATCCAAATGATTTGGTAGTTTCTTAACCTTTTACAGTTGTTGAATGTCAGTATTGGCTTCCATAACAAAGTTTCGTTAACAATTTCAGGTTAAATAATGCAGACAAGAAAAAGAATAACCTTTTTACATCCTTGAAGAGGAATGAGAGGGACAAAAAGAGGCTAATAGACACCGTTCTGAAACAGCTGAAAGTTCTGGAAAATGGTACCGCTTAGTTCTCTTCTGTAAGATCACATTAAGAAATCAGAGCCCTCATATGGACAGTAGAATGGATTGCTGATGTTGGCAGAGGAATATATAATTTATCTGAACACATTTGTTCATACTTTCATTCAAGCGCGCTAAGTTAAATTGAGACCAGCATATTATGTTGGAACTAAAACTACTATAATTCATAATTTGTTTTTGAAGACAGGAAACATTTTCAGAGTCTTTTGATCCTGTTGTGGATTTGATTATAAATTCAACCCATAGTTCATAGGACAGCAGGTTAGTTTGTGACCATAGAGTGTCCCAGTATAACTTTCATATGGTTGAACAGGGTTTCTGGGATTTGCTGCTATAAGAATTGTATCCTAAAAGTGGCTTCATAGTCTCTGGGTGTCAGTCTTTTAGGCTGCAGTCCCAGATGGGAAATTGAAGAAAAAAAATTAACAAAAGCATCCATGCATAATTTGATTTGTCACTGGCAAGAAATCTGGCTATACTTCCTGTGGCATGGCTGCCTGTGTGTATTTCTATACTGTCAACAGAATGTTAAAATGAAAAAGACCAAGGGATGAGTTCTATTGATTGAAGCTATTTGTCACATACTTATAAAATAATCATTGCATTGTTTTGCTCAGGGTAATATGGAAGCCACACCATTGATGTTAATTGTGACTTTTAAAACTGGATGTGGGTTATGCTAGTCATGCATTCTGTAGCCACATAAATTGTAGGAACAATTTACTAAATTTGAGTGTGTACAGTTTCATGTCAATGACGGTAGAAACATTTGTTCTTACCTCACATGCAACAAAAATTGCCCATCACCGTCTGCTTTCATTCCATTAATACAACTGTATTTTTGTTTATGTTTTTTTCCCCCATATAAAATATAAATGTAATTTCTGATAGTGATTATGAATGCATTTTCCCGACCCACAGACAGTAGTTCCTCATTTGTTTTTTTTCTTCAATTTTTATATCGCCTGTTCCCTTTTTTCTTTGCAATTTTTATATCAGCAGTTCCCCATGTTTTGAGACCTGCAGACAGTTGTTTCTCATTATTTAGTCCTGTGGTTAGTAATTTCCCTTTCCCAGACCCACAGAGTATACTTTCCCCATTTTCCAGACCCACCCACCTCAGTTTCCCATTTTCCAGACCTACTGTTTTCAAACCCCCGCTTCGTGTAGAACACCAGTTCTCTTTTTTGGTTTATTCTTCTTCTATGGCTTTGGCTTTCTTGCTGTCTGTCCATGATCGCTGATTCAGTCCTCAATTGGTTCTTGCAAATATCTCTCATCCATCCTCTACATAGCCTATCAACTTGCTGAATTCCTTGTGCATCAGAAAAACCTTGGCACGAAAATAAAACTCAGCTTTGTCAACCCCTGAGACATCAACTTCTGTCTTGGGACTCTATCTTCCTGTGCATGCTAAATAATGGATGCGTTGGAGATGTGAAGAGATAGATGCCTTCGCCTTCACATATACTA